GCGGCGAACGAATTACGTACACGCGGGAAATAGCAGGTTCATATAAACGTCTGCCTGCCGTAGTATACATACATACATACGTGACACGCTTATGTCATGGAGAACTTCTGACCCCCCGCGACAATGTGAAATTATGAAATGGATTATAAGTGGAAGTTTAAGCTGCGGTCTCTCGTCCTATCGATGCCCCTCTCTTGAACATTGCGGTATTTCATTTTTTTGAAAATAAACTTAGAATCCTAGAGACACTTCTATGATGTCGCCAGTTCGTTTCAGGTGAGATTATTGAAAAAATTTCTTTTTTCATCCAACTTCTCTGAGCTGGTAAAGAATTTTTGTTTTTGAGTTCGTTTGGTAAGGAATATTATTTCAGAGACTACATAATTCAGGAATATTATTACTTAATGTTACTAATGTTAGTTAGGAATCTTATTTTGAAATAATAAATGTTAGTAAATGTTTATCTTATTATTTCACAGTAACTTTAGTGCACCTTTTTTATAACCTATTTGCGTATGTATTTTGTAGTACACATTACACATTATAACCAAACGAACGATTAATCGGTGCGGATATATATCCCCTTCCTGCTTAAGGGGCTAATATTCGACATGCGCTGATTCATGAAAGTATCTGAAAACTTACCAGAGGAAACTTTTATGTTATACGAAATGAGGCACGACTATCATGATTACATTACTAAAATTAACTGAATTTTATAACTAACTTAACTTTTTTTATATTAACACTGAGTGTTGATGAAATTTAAATGTACGGAGTGCACATAATATGCAAAAACGTACTGAAAATTTAAAAAACAGAACACTCATGTTGTAACATTTAATCGGCGAAAGAAAATCTCTATTTAGATCCCATTTCTTTAATGATACAACATCCTATATTTGGCAATGTGCAGTGATGGTGATATCAAGAAATAATACAAGTCTCAATTTTCGTAAACTTCCATGGTCCAAAATATTAAGAGGTACTAAATATTAAGAAAAATTGATAATGGCGATCTAATTAAACAAGGACAGCGATTGACGAGGAGTGATATCTCGTTTTTTCTTTTCTTTTCTTTTCTTTTCTTTTTTTTTCTTATTGGAGTCACTTAGAAGCGAACATTTTGAATAGTTTGGCTGTTGAAAACAAGGAAGTCAGCTCTCGACACTGCTCATTAGAGGAAGAGGAGGACAGGAAATGCTTCATAAAAATTGAGCCGCACAACATTCTGGTGGCTGGTCACGACACGCCAACCGACAGATTTGCAACATATTTTACCAACCTGGTTTACCAGGCACAATACGAAATTATTCGAGATAATTGAACGTTGAATGTTATGCGAGATAAGCTCAATAATTTAATAATTTTATACACAACATGTGCGTGTAAAAACTAAAAGATACTTAGCACAAGTACAATAATTTTTTCAGTGATCATGAAACTCTTCAAAATAGTCAATTGTTCATTATACTAATGAAGTTCAATGTTCAATTTTATCATATTTGACACTCGCTTGGTACAAGTTATTTAATTGTTCGTACGTTAAATAATGTTATATCGTACGTTTTCAAATCAATTACAATTGCAAATTTCGAAATGGATATAATCATGGCTGTGATACAATATTCGCGCGATATGATCGCGACTATAATGAACGCTCTTGATAGTTTCTATGTGTGTTTTATGTAATACACAGAAGTACGAGCAGAAAAGTTTTTCGCGGCAGGTGTGTTTAAATACTTTCATCAGTGAGATTTAAACGAAAGTGGAATAATTATCAAATGGCATAAGACTATGAACCAATAAGTGGATTACTTTCATTTTCAAATGACAAGTGAGAAAGCAACTCAACTGGTGTCGTATTGGGTCATAGATAATTTTACAAATTAATTTATGTTACGATAATTTAATTAATTTATATAGGATATAATACTGTATATTAGAATAATCGATCGGGGGAAACTAGCAAGCCGAAAAAGTTCTTCTGAATGGTTAATTTCGAATACGATAATTATTTAATCTTTGAGCTTTTATTTGCCGTGTATCGTATTGATAAGCGAGGTATTACGATATTTTTATTATATCTTACCTACAGACACAGACAATCGCGATTAGATAAAAGGTCATACGGTTTTAAAATCGTAGTTCATTGACTAAAATTCCGTTTTATTTTTGGACATTGTATACTATTCTTTTCCCAATTTCCCACGTACGCATGTAGTACAATTATCTGTCATAAGATAACATTACACTAACTCCGTTGTTAGGTTGTATATTTGTTCGTTGGTATATACGAATGTTTGTTTGTTCATTTATTTATTCATTTATTCATGCCTCTTTTGTTTGTAATAGGAAGCTTTCAAGACTTTGCAGGTGTAGGATTTATTACTGGCAATTTGCAAATCATCAGTGTCAGCACTTTCTCTGTATCTTACATAAAATACAAGTTTCACGTGCAACTGATATTTAATCAAAAAGTATAATAGCAGTGCAACAGCTTGATAAAATCGAAAATTCGGTAGAAGTTAAAAATTTTTCTCTTCTTACGATAGATCAATGAAAATCTTTTAAGTACGTTCTTAATATAATTATTAATTTAATTAATTAATTTATTAATTTTTAAGAATATTCTGTAATGTAATACTGATTGGACATGTAACATTGAGTATCATATATTGTTGGAATTTCTTCCCGTAGAGAACAATTGAAACGAAAACTTTATATAGCTGTGCTTTTATCAGAATGAAACTTTCCAAATCTTTCAAGGTAGATACTTATCATTCATGTCTTTACTAGTTTAAGTCGTTTCTTTGTCATATACTGAAACATTCTAATAATACGCATATTCAGAAAGGGAGGAAGATTATTGTCTTCCAAAATGATCCAGACGAACGCACTAGAATTAAATTTTTTTTTTCTTACAAAAGAGTTTAAAAGACAAATGACACGTGATAATCGATAATTTTGTGAACTGTACAATCACACTTAATAACATTTTAATACATGACTGTTAGTCAATAAAATTATCCAGTATATATACATAGTTTGTACAATTGTAGAAAATATTTAATATGAAAATTACTGATTTTTAAACATTCACGTATACCATATCCAATATCATATAAACAATTTTTAACTTCTTTTTAGCCATTGTACGTACAATCACCTTCAATCAAACAAAACAACTTCAACTTCAAACAAAACAGTTTGATCTCCAAGTGAAAACTGGATGATCAAACTGTTTCCTCCGTTTGTGGTTTGATTGTCCGTTTCGAACCTGCAATTATCAGAAGATGCAATTACACATGTGACATTCGATGATGTGTTATACCGCGTAGAGAAATGATAACTCCGATACGTTTTTATCAGCAGCTCGCCACACATCCTGTGACTCACAGTTCGTACTTACGCATCGCTCGTTTCAACCCTGAAACTCTTCTTCTCCTCATTTTTTTTTTTTTTTTTCTTTATTCCTTCCCTCCTCCTTTTTTTTCTTTCTTTTTCTGTCCTTCCTATAAACGAATTAACTCCCTTTTAGGCTAGGAGGGTCGGACCCTCTTTTTCACGCGTTCTGCCCGCAGCTTTGCTCTGTTACCGTTAGCTTCGTTATGGTCCCGTTTCTCCACGGAGACGTGCCCGTTTTCATAGTTTAATGGGATTATTTGCGTGTTCGATCGTGGGACGCGTCGGCGGATCCGACGACATCCCTGGTAAATGAGATCCAATTATTTTCTGCTGGTCGGGCCTTTGTTCAATTACACTCTGAAGTTTGCGAAAAGATGTGTTAACAATAGATTAATATATCAGCGATATATTAATTACTCGATTAGGCACAAAGAAAAGTAAAAACCATATCGGTGATTATTAATTTTTTTCGTTTTCTTCTAAGTGAAGAAGAAAAACAGGAACCTTATTTGTGCGATATTGAGGCCTAGTTCAGTGTTATAAATAATTCGCATAAAGAGAGAACGTTTAATTAAGTATTTCGATAATGTCGAAGAGTCGTGCTGTCGTGCGAGTTAATTATACAACGTAACGGTAGTAGAGAGTGTAACCATCACCCGGTGACCAACTTATAGCCTTAATTGCAAAGTCTCTCTCCATTCACTGTCGCTCGTTATACAATCTTCGGCTATGTTCCCGTGCATACAATGAATAATGGTTCACGTCAGCGAGTTTCTCGCTGATTCTCGAAGCAAAAGTTCCCTGAAACGTTGTTAATACCGAGATTTCCTTAAAAGAATCAGCGCTGGAGTAATTGAAAGATCACGTTTCCAGAGGGTATAAATGGAGTAAAAATTAAATAAACGAAACACTGATCTTCTGGAATAGGTGGCTAACGATTGGGCGGGTTTGGCATTTCTAACTGATGAATTTTATCGTTTTGTTAATTTCGGGAACCACAACATTTATGAAATGTTGTATTAGGGAAAATATTTTTGTATTGCAGAGAAATGTATGAAAAGTATATGTAAATAGTCTATATAAAGTGCTCGGCCTTATCGAATACCAATGGAGATGGGATTCGCACCGCGAAGGACAAACTCATCGAGCCAAGGAAAGCAATTCTATAATTTCTAATTTCTCGACGGATCTCCCGTGACCATATTTCATGTCCTTCGTTACTATTATAGTCACATCAGACTACCAATTTCAAGCTCGGTAAGTTTCTTCATTGCAATGGCCCCCATCACAAACGAACTCGAAAAAGAGATGCGACAAAAAAATTCATCGAGCCAAGAATGAAACTTTCAGATTCACCATTTTCTCCACGGCAGGAATTTCCCTTGACCGTACCTCATGTTTTTTCCTTACGTTTATTTCATTGTCGTAGTCATGCTCGCAACTTTTCTACGACATCCATGAATCCATGACGTATTGCGAGGGACACATCCTGGGACCATTAGAAAGTGCAAATTCTACTTTTTGGGACCGACCTCGCTCACATCTGGAAGCAATTAGCATAACCTTCCTAATCCCGTGACCATAGAATCCACAGCTATGTAAGACCAACGCACAAGGAAAATAGTCAGTTAAGGTTTTTTGGCAATCGCTCAGCAACAGAAGTTCCGGAGCAAACCTATCGACGTACGACGGTTCATGGTTCGACTATCAAACTCACTCAAATGTTATCATTTTACGAATTCAAGCTTACGACAATCTATATTCCTCAATCATACCAATCCAATCCCAAAACAACTCTATCTTGAACCAGCTGATATTCATTAACGTTGAAAGACAGCAAGCCACCGATCTGCTCAACGCTCCTTATACGTCGAGGACAGATCGGCACGCAACATAAAGGATATAGAATTATATAAAATATAATGTAAATATAATAATATTATAGCAATACAATAACGTAGAGAGATTTTGATAATATAGGAAATTAGTGTGTTACAGAATTTCCGAATGTTAATGGGTTTAGAATTTTAGAAGCAAAACTTCAGAATTTTTGGATTCTAAAGCTCGCAAATCTCTGATTTTCCAATTTTGAAAGCTTGAGAACTCGTAAATTTTTGAGTGTAATTTTACAAATTTACAAATCCTCTTTTTTTTTCTTTTTTTTTTGCTTCACAGTGAAATGTCGAGCCACACACAGAAAGGAATAAATATTTCTACAGAATATTCAATCAGTATCTAACATTTTTACACATATGCACATATGTAAAAAAACTGATGTATCTCATTTATCATGACATTGAAAAACAGTGGTTAGATAAAAATGTTCTTCCTTAAACAATTCATCTTCGCTCGACCTTGCTCCGAACTGACTGATTAATTAATTGATTACGCAAATGGACGAGTCATCTCTGACTCGCGTATGTTTCTAGTAAAATGACAGTAGTATTGTAACTTCGAACGAACCATTTACATCGATATATCTGTACTTGGAATATTGAAATTGCACTTTAGAAGGACTATCGATTGTTCGATATCCACGTGTCATAATTCGATTGAATTCAAGATCTTTGTTAGTTTAAACGTAACGTTTGGACGTAATAAAGATTTGATTTATTGTTTGCTGTATGTGACTGATCGAATACGTGACTAGGATAAGTTCTGCATACGGATAGCTTCACTGATAAATATTGATTGTTGATGGTCTGGTAATTTCTGGCATGGTGGAATCTTGATTTCCTGGTTCTTCTGAAACAAATTTCATTATTTCAGATCTTTTAATCTGTCACACACGTGCTATTACATTAGAATCTCTAGAATTTGAATGTTTTGAATTTCGGTGCCGTCAAGTCAGAATCAGAACTTTTGTAATTTTTGTAATTTAAAATTTGCAATTTATCCAGTTTCAGATTTGCAAGCTTTCCATTTTCCAGACAAAATTGTAAATACTTCCAATTTCACAGCCACGAAACCTTCAGACTCTCCAACTATCATCCAGTTTCCCAATTTCGAAACTTTCGAGTTTGCTTCAATTCTCCCTTTCCAAATATCCAATTTCCCAAGCCTCGAAACACTTTCGAATTACCAAGCTTTCCAATTCCGAAGGATCCGAGTATTCGAGCGTTTCGTTCAAAAAAAAAAAAAAAAAAAAAAATGTCGAAACTAACGCTAACGAAAGATAAGAAGCATATTAGGGAGATTACTTATCGATGCACACGCATACCATCTTCATAAGCATAATAGCTTCTGGGATCTAACGGTGGAAAACTTTGGAATGTTGACTTTTACTCGACGCGACGTTCAGACACACGAGCATTCATTCAGGTGTACGATGAACAAGCGTTGCATTCTTCTGTCGTTGCTACGTTTCTACTCAGGTGCACGGTGTGCATGTCAGGTCCCGATCAATTAAGGCACTTAAACGGCCCGTTCTGTTTTACTCCATAAATAAATGCGGCGTAGAGAAGCCGTTGAATTGACTCTTCCGGTGGTATCTACGTTCACGTATAATATGCGTGCGTTCACAGGCGTTCATTGCGCCCATCCTTGACGTGTCTCGAACGTATCGTATGGACGTTTAATGAATACATATGGGAACACATGGAATTTTTTTTTCGGTGGGAGGAAATGGTCCTGTAAAAATTTTAGTACAGTGTAAATTCGTACATTCGATGAAAAAAAATCATCGACAGTTTAAACCCTTTTATTATATCGTGCAACAAATTTTGAGGTATCTTCGCAAAGGAGAGGCTCGGTGGGAACTTTTCAATTTCGATTTTTGCAAAATTTTGGAGTGAAAATGTCGTTTTAGTATTTCTCAGGTAACAATCTTAATCTTGTTTTTATAAATTAAATTAGTAAATTAATTCGTGTTGGTGTTGGCTCAAGTTTTGAATTCTTGTTATCAGAGAATTCTTTTTGTTTAACAACCGTTCAATCAACTGGCTTGGCATAAGTGTTGAATGTATGTATGTTATAAAATAATAAGGCAACAGATGTTTCCCAGCGCGTCGAACATTCGGGGAAAACCTGATCCTTTTTCTTTTCGGTTACAGCATACCTGCTCCTAAAATATTTGGACTTTCTATCTTTCTTTAACTTGCCCCGAAATTCTCGATGAAAAAAGGTCCAAACCTGCTTTTCAACCTTACACGAGTTCAACCTTCGTATTTTCAAATATTTTTAGTACTATATTCTCACGCTAATGAAGAATTTTCTATTATACTAATTGGGTAGTTATTATATATAATTTTTGATTTTTTTTTCTTCTTAATTCTTGATTCTTCGTTGAAAGATCTTGCACAAACAATTAACTGAAAAAATTAAACAGAAAAAGCATCTGTCAAGTGTTAATATATTAATATGTTAATACTGAAAAATTGAAAAATTTCATTATCTATTACGACCACTGAATATTATAGATCTAAAAAAATCTGTTTTTAACCAGAAATGTACACGGTGAACGTAGGATTGCACGCGGCTATTCTGCATTTTCCAATGGAAAATCGAGTAAAGCCAAGGTACATTTAATTTACGCCTTACTCGAGATACCTTTATGCCCTCAGCTCTCTGTTAACTGGTTTGACCAGATTCTAGACGTCCCCAACATCTAGACTTTGATGCTCGGTTTTATGACCTTGCTCGATCACAGAGACATTACATTAAATTTAATTACATTGAAACACTTACATTGCAGTTAACAAACTTTATTATTTGCAATGAATTTACCGAATGTTAAAGACACAAAATACACGTAGGTACAATGAAAAAAAAAACTGTGTCACTTGCGATAAATACTGGAATATTAAAAATCTGGTAAACCTGTCCTAAGACTTTTGAGCAAGAGTGTATACGGTGAACTTAAGATTTTGCATTCCCCGATAGAAAGTGGAGTGGAAACACTGTTCTGACTCGAGATTTTGAACCTTTATCTCAGCTGGTGTACGATCAATCTTTGATACTTGGTTTTATGACCTTGCTCGATCACGGAGACATTAAATTACATTAAATTTAATTACATTGAAACACTTACATTGCAGTTAATAAACTGTATTATTTGCAATGAATTTACCGAATGTTAAAGACACAAAATACACGTAGGTACAATGAAAAAAAAAACTGTGTCACTTGCGATAAATACTGGAATATTAAAAATCTGGCAAACCTGTCCTAAGACTTTTGAGCAAGAGTGTATACGGTGAACTTAAGATTTTGCATTCCCCGAGTGGAAACACTGTTCTGACTCGAGATTTTGAACCTTTATCTCAGCTGGTGTACGATCAATCTTTGATACTAGGTTTTATGACCTCACTTGATCGCGGAGGCTACTGCAGAGACACCGTTAGCCAGTCTACGCGTTAATTCGCCCGTGTATATACCGGCTCGTCTGGTTTTTATTCGACTTGCACCATTAGAGTGGCCACTGTAGTAAGTTTTGTTTGTCTGTTCCACGGTACTTACATACACACGTGCATGCATACGTTGCACAAGCGACTTGTCTGGCTCTGGATGATCATTACGCTTACCTCCAGCTGGATCTTATGAAATCTACCCATTGGCGTAGGTGTGCAAAATTGCTAGATCTTCGTATAATTAAATGGGATTAGTGTTCAACACACACACATATATGTACGTACGTAGCGAATCCACTCTATGATGAATTAGTCCTAGCACAGAATAATTCTTAGAGTTGGAGAATTATTTTTAACACGGAATAATCTTTGCTATTGAAGTATGCAATATTGAAAGATATGTTTTTGATGTGTTTGTATGTTTTTTTTTTTATTTAGAAAGTAAGCAATTTATCTGGGATTAAATAATTTATCATACAGTTATCGTGTAGTTACTTGGATCAGCGTTTATCTAGATCATGAATTTCGAAGTTTTTAACAGTAGTAATATATAATTCATCGAATAATTTTTAGTTTTAGAATATTATTTTCGACAGAGAATAACTCTCACTAGAGAATTAAATAAAATTATATTTTAATCATAATATTGCATTCGCTTATTTCGTATCTGGTGGTTTCACGTTGCGTAAATTATAAAATTCAGATTATACAGAGAATCGATACCACATGTTCGATTGTCAGAAAATGATTTATGACCATGAACATATAAATAAAGTGTGCGTTTATTCTGACGAAAGTGAAAAACTGGGGGTTGAAGAATAAAAGAAATCACGTTCCACAGTGGAGAGAAAGAAACAGCGAAGACTACTATGGACAAAAGTGAAGCGTGAGAAAGCATACTGTTTATCCGTATGCAAAATTTGATAAGATGATACAACCAATGCAGACAAGATTCGTTCCAATCGATTGTACCATTGCAATTGTCCACGTCTGTGAAACTTTCATTTGGAAAAAAGCATAACTTCTTTGGGAAAGCATTTATATAATACCTTACGCGCGAGTTTAGCAATGTAAAGTATCTCAGGACTGACGTGCTATTGTTAAACGAATTCCATTGTTTCTATTGAGTTGGTTAACTGGAGTGACGTTAATGGAACAGTCGGAAAATTATGAGCGGAATTTGTGAAACATTGATTGTGCACTAATCAATAGTATAAACTTCGTTCGAAATTATTTAAAAACATCGAAACCTTTTAGGTACAGAATATTGTTGTATTCGTTTGAAATATGTATATGAAAAACTAGAATCAGTGGCTTCAATTGGATTTCGATATTATTAAACACGTTCAAGCGCTTGTGTTTGATCGAAAACTTCTTGTAAGTATGTATTGAGGTATATAACATACGTTAAAAATCTTTTTCATATATTTTTTCAGATTCTTTCACAAATCTTAGAAATTTCTTGTAGAAAAATGATCGAAAGATTCTCACTATTAAATAAATATTACATGTTTCGATCCAAAAACCAATATTTCGAATATTTTATTAGAATTTTGTTGCTTAGATTTCATTTTTCCAGCAAATTATAAACGCGTTAGTGAAACGAATAAGATTACTGCTTGACGTGTACAGTTGTTCGCAATTTATATTTGAACCAAGAAAATCGTTCATTGCCATTCAGCAAAATCTCTATGAATCACATCTATCACGGGTCGGGCTCGCATCTTTTTCAGTGACTTCATGATTCACGCATTTGCAAACCGTGGATTGAATGACTCGCTACCGGAAGTGGTAAAGTGTCAACCGTGCGAAAAGATTACGATGGGAGTCAATAAAAATGCTTGTTTCACGGTCATTATCGATATACGATAACGTGAATTATAATCATATAATATAAATTTATCATATTTGTCATGTTATAGCAACGATTATTAAATGGATCAAAGTATTGTGGTCATTTAATAATTGGCCTTAGGACCAAATACTCTTAGAACAAATACATTTGTTTCAAAACTGGAAAAATGAAATAATATTTTACGGTAACAAATAATATTGACGTGTCGACAATCATATTATAAAATACACGTGCAATTTAGGGATTGCGATAAATATCAGCGATAAATATTGAATATTAAAAATGAAAAGTATCTTAACAGTTAAACGACTATAATTATCAAAATTAAATTTACATTAACGAAGCCGAAATATAAATTGAAAGGCCAAAAGCAAGCTGAACAAAACTGAAAGCTGGTAAGAGATAATTTAAGACACACTCATTTGGTGAAGATACCGACGTAGCAAGTGTATAATGTTACAGATTGCAACAATTCAATGCCAGTTACTCAAGTATTAAAAACGAGAATGCATGCATGTAGAAACGATAAATATCACTAATCTCCGTATTTGTTTCATTCACCATTTTTATAGATAATTGTATACAAAAATAAATCAATTATACACGCCAAATGATAAGATAAATATTCAATATAAATAAACTTTTGTTTCAGTATATATTGTATAAAATACATATTGATTTTACGGAAAGTTTCTTCATACTATATGATGATCTGTATTATAGTACGAGGAATAGGAAGTAGATATAATGACTCAGATATGATAATAAGTACATGGCCAATAAATAAGATAGTTTGTTTTCGTTGGGAATTATCTCACGATAATTGGATCTATCACAGTTGATGTACATGTGTTGAAGTGGTAAAACTTCCTGTTTTAACCACTGGAGCGATTCTCGAGTATGTTACACGTATTGGACAAACTTTCCTCTATCTTTTAACAAATATGACATAATCTATTGTTGAAACGTATCTCAAGGAGACACGAAGAAAATTTCCTTCTATAATTACTTCCTACATCCGGAGTCTTGTTCCTCTGTTCTTGTAATTCCTTTCGTGCTACGTAAAAGCTCGATCGACGTGAACAGAATGCAAATGATCAAGATGAAAGAACACTTGTCTTTCTGGAGCGATCCAAGGCTACTTGATCCGGATAAAGAGCTTGGAACGATACTTGAAATTCGATTCACAAGCGATTTCCATTTTTCTTTTTTTTTTCTTTTTCTTTTTTTTTTCTTTTTCTTTTTTATAGACCAGCTTGTTTTCGAATCCACGAAAAAATGGTCACCACGTAAGGGGACTTTTTGCGACTTCTCTTTGATCTTGCGTGGGTGAACAGTTGTTGACACTGACTACCCACGTATTTAAGCTGCGACTTTGAGAACATTGGCCAATTTACAAATTATAATTATATCGCGAACTTTTTTATTCATTTATAGTGCATAACATTTATTCATTTGAACATAGTTAACGTATGAACAGTTAAAATACGGTTTTTAATATTGATTTATTGGTTTGTTAGCACAATGGATAATTAATTGTACGATCTGCGCGAAGTGTTATGTATTTTTCTTGCACTAAATATATTTTATAATTTCTAGATTTCTTCAATTTTTGTGTACAATGTTTGTGATTTTAATATTGTGGTGAAATTTTGAAGCAATCTCAAAATGTACATTATGCACATGTATAATTTGACCGATTGATAATGATAGTTGAGCCTCACGATAATAAAACTTTACGTATTGCATGCGTGATATACTCATTCATAAAATCTTGTAAGGTGCGTAGCTATAGCAGTATACGAATATTATCGTCGAGCAAATGTCGAAAGAATTGAACCATCACTCTTGCGAAAATGGAAAAATGATGGACATTTCATGTTCCACTGTGTCATTTTTATTTTCCCGGGGTGCTCGTTATTGCTCCAAGCGTTGAACTTTCTATTCGGCAAATCGAAGACGACAACACGGAAGTTGTAATCGGTCTTCAAGCGGCTCTATGCAATTTTTGCTGAGTTTCGTGTGACTCAATGTGTAATACGAGCAACGGTCTTGTCGGCTGTTCAGCAGCATTCGTGCCGTACTCAATAATTGCGCCACTTGCTTGACAATTTTTTAAAAAGTTTCCACGTAAAACTTATCAAACTGCTATTCCTCGGATTCCGCTACAAAACATTCGGGAATCTTTGAACACGGATTTCGATCGTACAGTGTAGAACAGAACTAGATTATGTTACCAACGATAAAAAAAATTGTCGGTACTTGAAACTGTTATAATTTCGTTAAAAAAAAAAAAAAAATCATACAGCTCACTTGGTCTCATTTTAAAGTGCATTAGCCTTTACTTCGACCGACTTGAATTTATTTTTTTCGAAGACGCAGCAGGTGAGGATATTTTTATTCTCGACAATTGTAACAAGTCGAGTATCTTTAGAGAACATTTTTTTCGTGATTAAATTCACATTGGGTCTTGAAGGTTGAAGTCTCTCCTTTTTACAACGGCTTTCTATAATCATTTCAGTGAACTTTGTTAGAACTACAAGTTAGGATTAAGAAACGAAATGGTGGGACTTCTTGAATTTTTGTTGTTCGCCTGTTTTCAATTAAAGAGAAAGAGAAACTCTTATTCAGCGAGCAAATCTCTTTCTTGACAAAAGAGTCATTTTCATTTTGATAAACATGCGATGTGTCGCAAATCGACTTGAGAATGCGATACGCAGTAGGGTACAGAGTCTAAAGTCACGAAGAATTTCTCTGAATATGTGACAAACGTGTCTTGAAACCATTTTCTTTATCCTTTGTCATTCTCGCTTCTTAAGAAAAGGAATAATGTTCGGACGATTAATTTAATACTCGAAATTTCTAATCATTTTTTTTTGATAGGAATTTAATTAAATTCCTCTTGGCAGAAAAATTGTTTTTACTGTCCTTAATGAAATTATTTTCATTGTTTATTTATCATCATCCAATAATAATAAATTTTAATAAATTTAACGAGTTTTCGTTGTTATTTAATTAATTTCACTGTTTTCAATTTCTTTCTTTCTCATAGCGATCCTGGTAAAATGATATGCGATAGAAGTTTATTAATATTTCTAGATTCACAAAGATGTTAACTGTCTGGAATGCGTGAAGATCGTCCTGAAGAAAAATTCATATAACTCTCGAGGATATTGAGGGATGTTGCTTGAAGCAATGTGATATACGCGCGAATATATAAATATAATTGTTTATTATATTAAAAGCAATAAGTAACGATGGGTTTGCCGATCTATTTGCTGGCTGCTATCACAGCTTTGGGAACGGTGAATGCTTTGGAAGGGCCAAACATATGCACTAGGCAAGAAACGTAAGTAGATTAGGTTTATTAATTTATGAGTAATGCTTGACGTAAAAGTGATAATTGATATTTAACTTGTTTTCCTGGATCTTTATTAGAGAGTCTAATATCATCTTTCTTAGTCTTAGAAAATATTTAATAAAATTTTATTAAAGAAATAAATATTAAAGTAAATACATTAAATAATTTATTATTTATGATCAAATGTGATCAAATCATATGTGTGCGCTAATAATTACATGTATTATCTATCATTATTGCATATATTGTTTAATGTATTAAATAATTTATTTATATATTTGATCATAATTTTTTTAATATACATGTAAAAATTTCTCCGATATTATGAAAGTAGATATAAAAATATAACTGTTATTGCTTTATTATTTTTTTTTTTTTATTAAAAGAAAGTCTCTTCTTACATAAAAATTAAATTTTTTAAGAACAAAATCATAATGGACTTAAATGAGGTAATAGACTTAATTTTATTTTAACTGTCGATCGTGTTTTTCACGATTCATAACGCTTGGTTTTAACACTTGGCTGGTGTCAGGTACACGGTAACGGTGAGAATATCGGAGCAGAAACCTTACACTGTACGAGAGAACACCTGGTGCTTCAGTTTTCCGCCAAGATGCTCTAAATACAAGGTGGTATTCAAGACGATGTACAAAGAACAGGTAAATATTAATTGATATATAAAATGTACCAATTAATTAAGAAAAAGTTCCCTATAAACTAATGCTTCGATGTTTCACTCAATCAAGGAATTATCAAAACAAAGACCAGTGGAAGAATGTTGCAAAGGCTACACGGAGACCAATGATGGCAATCGTTGCATTCCTATCTGTTCCAAGGACTGTGTCCATGGAACTTGCATCGCACCAGACGTCTGCAAGTGTGAATCAGGATACGGGGGCCCGTTATGCGATTACAGTAAGTAGTTCACTATTTGCTTAATTTATATTGTTCAAAACTAGATTGTTCAAAATAATATTTTAATATATAAAACCATTGAAATACCCAAACCAGACATCCTCAGAAAACACTTTCACCTTGGTCCCTTATTCTTGATGCAAGATGTAGTTTTCACTACCCAGGAAATTAATATTTTTAGAGAAAGAATTATTAATGAAGAAATTAAAATGTTTATTGATTAGTTTTGCTGTTAGTTTAAATGCTGAGAATGATTCCAAATATAGTAACTATAAAAAGATATTTGTCTTTATTATATTTATTATAGCACTTACATATGACAGTCATTATAATTAAGAAAGAAATTTAAATCATTTTTTTTTTTATGTCTGTTGCGAATATTCGCAGTAAATATATATTTGCATCTCGACAGAATGTCCACCTGGAAAATGGGGTAAATCTTGCGAAATGGATTGTATGTGCCAGAATGGAGCAACTTGTGATCCATTCGACGGCAAATGCTTGTGTACCAGAGGTTGGACCGGTATATACTGCAGTCAGGAATGTCCTCCTGACCGATACGGACAAGATTGTGGCGAGGAGTGTCGTTGCAGGAACGGTGGAAGTTGTCATCATATCTCTGGCGAGTGCCATTGTGCGCCTGGCTACACAGGACCACTGTTAGTTTTCTCTGTTCTATTATTAAAATTATGTTATATTAGAATTCAATTTCCAATATCGCTCTAACGATTTTTTTTTTTTTTTAGTTGCGATGATTTCTGTCCACCTGGAAAACACGGCGATGAGTGTAAATCAGAGTGCAAGTGTCAGAATGGTGGTTCTTGTAATCCTACAACTGGCGAATGCTATTGTACACATGGATGGACTGTAAATATTAATTAACGATATCACGATTGTAAATGTGTTGGTGCATGATCTAAAGTAGATTTTGTTTCAAAACAGGGTTCAGTCTGTGCGAACCGGTGTCCAGAAAGTTTCTGGGGTAAAAACTGTTCTCAAGAGTGCGATTGTTACAACGGAGCTGGCTGCCATCACATCACTGGAGAATGTGAATGTAAACCTGGCTATTATGATGAAAAGGTGATCATTCTTACTATTGTTATTCAAATTAATTGTTGACCTTTTGATAAATACGCCTACTATAGTAGATATAAACGCTAAATAATTTTAAAAGTGACAATGTTTTATAGTGCTTAAAAATATGTCCTGAAGGAACATTCGGTTTGAATTGTACAAATAACTGTACCTGCGAAAATAGTGCAATTTGTTCTCCAATCGATGGAACTTGTACCTGTAATCCCGGATGGATGGGTAAAAAGTGCAACAAGCGTGTTTGTTCGGATAAATTGTGGGGACCCAACTGTGCAAAAGTATGTGATAATATATAGGAAATATAATATTTATTTTTTGATAGTGTTTTTAATATTAAAAAGATAAAATGTTGTTAGGTTTGCGATTGTGAGAATAACAATACAGAAATATGTCATCCTTGGACTGGAAAATGCATTTGTAAACCAGGATGGGATGGTGATACCTGTACCAGACCTTGTCCACTTTATATGTATGGGAAAGGCTGTCAAAACCATTGTAATTGCAAGAACAACGCGCAATGTTCGCCCGTAAATGGAACTTGCATTTGTGCAGCAGGATACAGAGGTGATGATTGTAGCGAAATATGTCCTGACAATACTTACGGCGAAAGCTGTACGCAAAAGTGTATTTGTAAGAATGGTGCTACTTGTTCACCCGAGAATGGCCGATGCAATTGTACAGCAGGTAACGAGCTACACTCTTATAAATAAATTGATACGAAGTAATATAAAAAGATGAAAGCTTAACGTTTAATTGAGATATGCGTGAATAATTAAGAAGTAATCAAAGGAGGTATCCTTAAAATGATAAGCATCTTGCGATCTTATGATTTTAATAACTTTGTATCATTTTTTTGTTGTTGTCTGCTTGAAGATTAATAATTAATTTATTCTTTAATTGTACTGAATGGCATGAGTAATTTTTAATAGTGCATTAAACTAACTCTAGTTTGATAGTGTATTATTTGCAAATTTGTAAAGTTTTATCTTACGTACATAGTAAATTATTACCTTAAATCGATATATTTAAGTAAGGTAAGTAAATTGAATTTGTAATCAGAATTATTATTTTTGGATATCTTCTTTAAAATGTTTCCGTTTTTTACGTTAAGTTAAATTTTATTCCTGCATGTGTTATTATTACATTTTGTTAGGATGGGTTGGTGTTTCATGTGATCGTCCCTGCGACGACAAGTCTTTCGGCAAGGACTGCGAGGGCAAATGCAAATGCTTTAACAATGCTGCCTGCAATCCACAAAATGGTAAGGGGGCTGGTTGCAACGATTCTTTCTCAAGTTTAGGGAAAGTTAATGCTTTAAAATATTAACAAAGAAGCATTAATTTGTCGCATAGATCTTTAATTAGATAAATTTTGTTTATTTCTTAATAATTTTATTTCTATATTTTTTTATTTTTGTTTTTTAAAACTCGCACTTATTAATTTCTATGTTTCTATTTCCATTTCGTTGCACCTGCACCAAAACACTTTTATTTAAATATCTGCAGGCACATGCACGTGTGCAGCTGGCTTCACTGGCGAATTTTGCCAAGATCATTGCGAAAAAGGATTTTTCGGCTTGGGATGTACTCAGGCCTGCGATTGTCACGAAGAGAATAGTTTAGGTTGTGATCCTGCCATTGGTCGTTGCATCTGTAAGCCAGAATGGCGAGGTTTGTTTCCTGCTTTAATTCGTCGATCAATCGCCATATATCAAATCTTTAACAATTATCCTTCCCTTATACATCTTAACATCTTGATATCTTTTCTACATCATTAATCATATAACGCGAAGAATAGAGAGTTTAAATCATCAAATGATGTTTTTGTTTATTTATTTAATATATCATATTAGATAATATTTAAAAAAAAAAATTGAAATTGTTAAGAATAACTAGAAAACTAGTTGTCCAATGGCGATTTGATCTTCGATGAAGTTTTTATTTTTACATAAAATAGGAATCCGTTGTGAGACCAAGTGTCCAGAAGGCCTGTATGGTGATGACTGCCATTCACAATGTGAATGTATGAACAATAGTTCATGCGATCCGCAAACAGGCATTTGCATTTGTGCTAGAGGCTGGGAAGGAGCTGACTGTTCTCAACCCTGTAAAGAGGGGTGGTATGGTGTGCGTTGTAAGGAAAAGTGTCCAGAAAAAATGCAAGGTAAAAATTTCAGTTGAAGGTGAAATAAATTAAGCTTTCGTAGTTTTGTTTAGTCAGTAGTTTTTAGTACACTTTTATATTTTAAATTGTATGATAGTGCATCATATGTAGAAATTTTCTTAATTAATACTATTCCAGCATGTTCGTGATAAGCGAAAAAGTAGCATATTAACGCTTTGTTCATTGATATAAAGAATATAGTCATTTTTATTTGTATACTCTTACTTAAACACTTCAATAAAAGTAAGTAAGTAGGTAAGTTATTAATTGATCTAACTCTAACACACTTCATACTTAAGACGAGTTTGTTTATTCAATATAATAATCATCAAATTTATCTTTCAGGAAACATGACGTGTGATCATGTAACTGGTGAATATGTTTGTCGACCTGGATACTTAGGTTTAACGTGCGAGCATCCTTGTCCACCTAATCGTTATGGATTAAATTGTGCTAATCACTGTCGTTGCAAAAATGGTGGCGAGTGTCATCATGTTACAGGTAAAATTTTCTCTATCATTTTTGCAATTTAGTGAAGATAGAATTTTATTGAATTTTATAGAAATAACACAACTCTTCACAAGCTGGTACATTTTTAATTTTAGTTGCTTTAATAACTTTTAAGTTAGTATTATTTTAAGTTATCTAAACACTTGACTTATATATTTTTCTCACCTTCTTATAGCGTTATCTTTTGATGATTTTAGCAATTTCTTTCTAAAATACACAAAATTCATATCAGATATTACTCGACATGCATCAGTGAAATCACTTCTTTCTCATTTATATCATTTTAGGCGTATGCCAATGCCGACCCGGTTGGCAAGGTGAATTTTGCCAAACACCTTGCATGGAAGGAACATATGGTATGAATTGTAGTCAACATTGTACATGTCAGAATGGAGGAAAATGCAGATCTAATGATGGTCATTGCCGTTGTGCACCTGGTTGGACTGGCACCAAATGCACCGAAAGTATATAAAAAAAAAAATTATATATATATAATACAGAAAAAAAATGAACAAAACGTAACATATATTCTTTTCATATTTGCAAATCTAGTTTGCCCGGAAGGATATTATGGTGATCATTGTATGGAACCATGTGACTGTAAGAACGATTTCTATATATGTCATCCTGTTGATGGTTGTATTTGCAGACATGGATACACAGGTATGTTAAATGTTTAAATCTCGTCAATATCGATTTGTCTTAACTAATATGGAAATATTCTTTTTTAGGTCCAAATTGTGACGAAGAATTGTTTTCGCGTAACATTCAGGAGAAAGATGAAACTGGCTATGGCAGTATAGTAGCAGGATTTTTATTTGCTGCAATTGTTGTTATTGCAATAACATTCGCAGGATGGGTATATCATCGGCGTAGAGTAGCAGATTTAAAGAACGAAATTGCGCAAGTGCAATATATCGCCGAACCTCCTTCTCCTCCAGGTATTTACACAAACAAATGTCTTTAATTTATAATGAATTAGGAAGAATAAATCAGTATGATATATTTTGTATAGAACAAACTCAGTTTGATAATCCCGTGTACGCCTATCAAGGCTCTTCGAAATTCGATGATGGAACAACTACTTTACTGAATAACTTCCAATTCAGAAATAATCTTGGGACAAGTAAAAAGATAAACAATGAGAAAGCTAAATTGGGAATGAACAATTGTACAGATGATGAAGACGATTGTAAAGGTATTATTGAAAATAGTAAAATAGTATAATATATCAAAGTACGTATATTATTTTGAAAAAGATTCTTATGCTTTTTTGGGTCACTTTTAGGATCTTATAATCGATATGATCTAAAGAACAGGGATGCAGATATGGGAAATCCAAATCTTAATGTATATCATAGCATCGACGAAATGGATGGGAAAAAGATCGAACACGTTTACGATGAAATTAAGCAAAATAATGACGAATCAGAATACGACCAGTTAGATCATCCAAGACCAGTTAGTAGTTATAAGCAGTACAATCGAATGGCGAATGGTTTCTGTTCGAAATCATCAGATAATGCAGGACCTAGTAGTTTGAAAGATCCAGAACTTGGTGAAATGTAAATTTTTCTTAGATCTCAGATTGAATTATGCAGGTTAAAAATTTAAATATATGTCTTCAATGTAACTTAAAAAAAAAAAACAGATTTTAAAAATTTTTACTTTAAATAAGTAGTTTAGACTCTTTTAAAATTTTTTACGTTTTATTAATCTGAGTCTTGAGAATATCTTCAGAAAATCTTAAAAAATAATAAAAACATAAGTATTTTCATTAAGAAAATGTATTCTGATTGCTCAGTATATGCATGTACATAGTTAAATGATAATGCAGCGAATAGTTAAATGGATATTTTATTTATAAAATTGTATACTCATAGTGATTTATCCTAAACGTGTTAAACTGTCTCTTTTTGTGATGATGTTTATTAATGTTTTATATAATAGAATATCTGATGCAATATTATTAAAAGCAATAATAATTCTATTGCAATTGATTTTAAGAATTTATTTAAAAGCTAATAATTAAAAGTGCTTTTTTTTATCGTTTATAATGAAAAAGATTTTAGATAGATGAAAGAAAAAATATTTACATATCAAAATTCTTCAAAAAACTTGTAATATTTATAGAAATTATATAAAAATTATTACTTAAAATGCGAAATTTAGTAGGAGAAATAAAAAGATAGATGACTTTTGCATACGAAAGTGCCTTATAAATTTGAAAATGACGCAAAAACTATAAAATTTAATAATGTAATTAATTTTTTTTTACATACAAAAAGAAACAAGAAAAGAAAAGAAAAAGAATTGGAAACTATAGATGAATAATGGGGGTAAAAATACTCAGTATATCTATAATAAATCATTTAGAATGTAAATTGGCAAACAAGGTACAAAATCGTTATGTAAGTTTAAGCAATAAGAGACCGATTTCACGATCTCAGAGTGTGCATATAATATATTAGTATTAAAAGATTCATCTTTCTTTTTTGTTTCTTCTTTACATTTCAAATAGAGACATAATTACGCGATATTTATACATACTCATCACGCATGAGACAATAGAATAATTATTTTAAGAACAATTTATTTCCTGTATGTGCAAGAATATATTTGTAAGTAATTTAGAGACAAAAAAAATCATGTTCTACGATTAGTATAGAATATCATATTAGAAATACATAGATTCTTCGTGTATACGTATATGTCTATGTACAGACTTACATACACATATAAATATACGCACATACAGATAACACAAAAAAATCTATTTAAAAGAATAGCATTCGAGATATTGTAAAATGGGATTGTATTTATATCTTTTATATTAGACAATATTCTCTGCCTATTTTTTATTTCTTAAGAAATATCTATTTTTACGATTTTATATATACACTATTTTTATTTTTATTTTAGATGAATTCAGAGAAAACAAATTATTGTGATCAATATAAATACTTTTGTAAATATCGTTAAATTAGAACATAACGTAAAAATCAACAATTTTTAAATGTATGTATACTACTTCCCTAGAATATTATTTTTAATCATGTCTCGTCTCTGCTTTCTCTGTTTATTGTGCGAGATCTATAACGACTGGCTTTAATTAAGTTCAGAATAGGCGACGAGATCCAGTAGAGTCCACCGAGAAATTGTAAAAGCGCCGCGAGACTCAAGCAGAGGTTTGTGTCTGTAATCAGAAATTCTTTTCTATATGATTTGTTTTATTAATTATCCTTACGTTCGAAATAAAATTTTGTTACGAGAGCTTACCGTGTATGAAATAAACACCGAGAATGCATAAACCTATGATAGTTGAAAATCCTTTATGAATGGAACGAACCATTTCGGATCCAAGAACATCATATAAAGGCAAGTCTTGACAACTCGTTAAACTGCCAATACTGACACCGCCCAGAGCAATAAAAATCACCATCCACAAGTAGCTATTTACGTGATTTAAACCTAGAAATATATTTTTTTCAGAATACGAATGAATCAAAACACACTTTTCTATCACTTGCCTATTAAACTGATACCACAAAACCAAGACGCTATACCAAAATATAATCTTCTATTCTGATTTGTGAATTTTAGTACTTTGTAACTAATAAAATTTGGTAGAAAGGTACTGAAGCCAGCCGTGATGGGCAGAGACATCCAAACGTAATTATGTTGAAGCATCACACTTTCATTATTTAAAATGGGTAAGAAGAGCCAGAAGAAAAGAGTTGACACTTTCATTCCAACCCAGCCAATTATTGCAGCCCAAAATCGGAAATTTTTGAGAACTCGGAGTTGATACTGCCATTTCTTATCAAAATGGACCATTGGATTTACAAATAAGTCCACATCTTCATCTAAGTCTTCATAAGCATAAATATTATTTCCTTCGTTTAGCAATCCTGCTCCATGTGTCTTTTCATCAGGTTGATCATATTCAAAATTTCCTACGTTATCTTGACCACTCGAGTCCTTATGAACGTTGAAAGAGATTTTTATAGGAAGTTCAGTATCTTCCTCGGTTGATAAAAGTAAACTGTAAGTAAATAATTAAATATTTGTTTTGTACATTAAAACTACTTAATAATGATTAATAATAATATGAAATATTGTTATTTAAGATAATCTGAAGAAGGACCTGTAAGGAGAAGTTTGTTCCGAAGAAGGCAACCGAAAAGTCAATGTTCCAAACGCAGTAGGCAATAACATAATAGTTATTAGTTGCAAACCAGTTCTCAGTTGAGCTTCGTGTAACAACAAATTTGTAATACTTGGGATGAGCAGAAGTCCGAAAGAGACTGCAACGTTTCTCAACATCAAGGCTACAAGAAGCTTTCTTCTGAAGTACTTCCTCAAAATATAGTCACTCAGTAATGTGACAAAACTGGCGCCTATGCCCATTACTGCACCTGCACTACTGTTGGCTAAATAAGCACCAACTCCACCAGTTGCAAGATATCCAGATGCTATGATTCCAATTATCAGGAGAAGCACTCCTATTATGCCTACCAAACGTGGAATTGACGCCATACTCACAACCATCTTTGTCCAAGGATCTAGAAAGAAGTTATAAGAAATTGGTAATAATTGTTAGAAGATCATAGATTACTAAATTGTTTATATACCTGCTAGATTCCAGAAGGCAGTAAACAATATAGGCGTCAAAATAATTTTTTCATCCCATACGTCAAAATCAGTGGATTTAGTTTGATGAATATATTCCAGGACTACCCCGTACATCACTAATATACTTGGAATAGTCATCTGTAAAGATAAGAATAGAATTTTTATTCCAAGTATGAAAACTTTTTAAATGTGAACAAGTTAATATCTATTAATATTTATATTATTTAGTGTTTAGAAAAAAATTAGTATTATCGAAAACATTTACTAATTCCTTAATTTTTTAAAACAGTAGTATAATGACAAAAATTTATTTTGATTTCATAAAAAAATATGTGTAATATTGTGGCTCTTAATACGATTATGTTATAATATATATTTGTAAACAAATTGGATCTTACAATTTTTTACGGATATTTCCAAGACTATTCTATGTAAAATATTATATTTAATATTGTGGAAATGAATTAAAGAATATGGCTTTAAATATCCTATATAAATAACGCATAATATCAAGTATTATTAAATTAAAATGAGAGTCATTCGTGTACTTTTGTATCTAGATTACTTACCTGGACTAAAAATACTCCACAAAGAACAATCCATGCGTAACCACCATCAGGAACCGTGGGTCCTAGCTCCGGGAATGACGTGACGACTTCATCGAGACGAAGACGTTTAGTTGAGGACATTATTTATTATATAAAAACTAAATAATTTGATCAAGTGTATTTGAATTTACAAGAACAATTTTGTCGCATACTGGAGACATTCAGGTGATTCTGAAATCTATTATCTAATCTTATTGAAGATGCCAATGGTCTGATAGCCAATGATAAGGAATAGCAATTCTAAGAATATTATGTATGTACATATATTTTTTATTGAAGGCAGACAATTGACCAATGGCTAAACAAGCAGGGAGATTTGATAAGAGGAGTGAATACGCATATAAATATAAATATATAACATTTATTCGACGCTAAACATATTCGAGACAATAACATTATCAAAATTGCATGTTCTTTGCTTATAATTATGAAGTCAACAAGTGTTAATGTCGCAACAATAGCTTATAAAATAACATATTCTATGATTTTGTTTCTATCTTTTTTTTTTAGTTCTAAATTAATTATCATATATCATATTATAAATACTAATGCCTCATTATATTCTCAGTTTTGGATTACTTATGATACAAAAGAAATTAAATACTTGCGTATTATACAGTAAAAAAGAATGAAACTTCTCAGTAGTTCAAAAATGATTGACACATTTTAAAAGGATAAATTTAGTTAAATTTTTTTCTCCGTTAATTTCTAATGGAAGAACTTATTCACAAATCTTCGCGAGTATCAGCTGCTATCGAAGTGTATCTCACCCTCTTGTTCATCGAGTCTAATATAGGCTCGATTTTTTTTTGTAGTTTTGTGCGTTGCACGTAAATTAAAGCGCACACCAATCCTATTAATACTATAGAAAGGAAAAAGAGCAGAACAGTTGCACCGCGTGGAGTTGATGAAAACAATCTCGGGGTGCAATTCTTCGTTTCGTATATTTCGTGTGGTATTCCATCTACAAAAATAAATAACATTTAATTTCGTATAGTATTCGGCGAAATATTTCATCGAATACAAGTACATACCTTTGTAACACATCAAATTGTCTTTATTACGAACGAACACTTTCGTCTTTTTCATCCACTTCATAAATGGATTCAATTTGCAGGAACACTCGAGAGGATTTCCAGTAAGATCTATAGCTATGCTTTGGTTGTGCTTGATAAGGGCATCCATAGCTTGCAGATCGTGTTCTACGACTTTTGTGAACTTATTTCGCTGAAGATCCAAGAAACGTAATTTATGGAGACAAGATATGTTGAAATGCAACGCAGTCAGTGTGTTATCACCGAGGTAAAGATCCAAAAGGTTCGGGAGATCACAGAATACATTACTATCCCTGAATTCTGATATTTCATTTTGCTCTAAATGGAGCTTTATCAGTTGTGTTAAATTACTGCGATGAGTATAAAATGTCATTAATAATTTATAAAGATTAGAATCATTTTATAAGGATTAGAATTTATCAATCTGATACCTGTTGACAAAAATATCGTGTAACGTCGCTGCAAGATCTCTCGGTAGACCATCCTCGAAGGCATCGGTTAAATGAAGTTCTAAGAGGGACACAAAATTAGAGAATACTCTGGGATGACTTCTCGCAGGATCCAGCGAGAGTTCATTGAAATCTAAAATGAGTCGTTCGACACGTTGAACATGATGGTATGCCTTCCCGCGAATTTCTCTTATTCTATTGTTTGACATATCGATCATTCTTAAATAAGGCAGACTGTCCAGAGTGCCGAATACGTTCCATGGAAGTTCTTCAAGGTAGTTCCCAGTGAATATAAGCACCTAAAAGTAATACAAACGTGTCAACTGATTTTTCTATAAAATCTTATGATTATCAAAAAACGTTCATCTTTAATATAATGACTTGTGTTTCATTTGGTAAATGGGACAACGGCGTTACATCAGAAAATCCTGAATTAGTACAATTGACAACATATTGATGGCGATTCTCGTAACATGTTCTCAAACAGTAGCAACGATTTTCAAAAGACGGCCCACACTCCACTCTAGCGTTTTCTAATGTCTCCAACGAGTGCCAATTAGGATCGTTGCAATCATTGGATAAATCAGCAGTGGTTGTGCATATTAAAAGGAACACTGCGTGAAACTTATTCATTATGCATCTGAAACAAATTGTAAAATATAATTTCAAAAGATAGATATTAATTTTGCTCAAATTTCTGTCTTACTTACACGTAAATTCATTTGCCAATGCAATAGGCGAAATGTAATAAAAAATTATTAAACTGAGAACATATCTTTTGTTTCTTTCAAGTACTATGATTGTAATATTTCGTTTAATGTTTTAATATTTTTTATATATCTGCAACAAGAATTTGTAATTTGAATACTCCCGCAAAAATTGTTTAAAATTGGAACTAGGTTATGATTGGCTGAAACATATTGGCGGTTAAAGTGAATTTAAACTTAACACTCCATCAAACCACTGAGGTTAGTTTCTCATGATAAAACGTGGGCGAAGAGTAGGTTTTAGGTAGGCAAAAATTAAATGTTGTTACAACTTCTGCAAATGAAAGATTGTAAAAGTGTTTTAAAAAATGTTTTTGGTTATGAGAACTTTAAAAGCAAAATTCAAGAAAAAGCTGTTGTTGCTATTTACACAGGTCAGTACTCTCTTTTTATGTAAAAATGTTTCTTATTATTAAAAATTAAATTTATTAAAAGCTTTATTAAATGTTACAATATATAAAATATTATATATAATAATAAATATACTGAAAAAGTGTGTTATTCCATATGTTATTTCATTGTATCATGAATATTATAAAATTTTATTTAAAAACATGCATCAAAAAGTATGATGGATAATTATAGGTGTAAGATATGTACTTATATCTATGCCTCCTGGATTTGGTAGGTCCCTTTGTTATCAATTACCTGTTTTCTTACGAAAGGGAGTTGGGATTGTTTTTTCTCCAAAATTATCTCTTATTAAGGTAAAATTCCTGATACTTTTAAAATCTTAATTGATCAAACTAGATTAATTGACTGAAGTATTTTCAGAAAGAAGTAGATTTTTTAAAAAGCAAATGCATTAATGTTGGCTTGTTGTCCAAAAATACAAAAATATCTGAAAGAGATAATGTCATAAATGATTTAACATCAAAGTATCCAAAAATAATATTGTTATATGTAACTCTTGAAATGAGTACTATGACATATTTTAAGGTAAATTATTTTATTATTTCAATTTTAAGATATTTCCAATTTTAAAAATATCTTCTAGTTAATTTAATTATACATCAACAGGAACTTTTGATTTCATTAAAAAAACGTAACTTATTGTCTCACATTGTATTTAACGAAACTCATTGTTTAAGTGAATGGGGATATGATTATAAACCTGGTTATAAAAATATAAATACATTTAACAAAGTATTGGAACATGTTCCTAAAATTGCAGTAACTACAACTGTTACTAATAAGGTAACAAAAATAGTTTAAATTATTGTCAACAAATATTTGATCTTCTTAATTATACATTTTAACAGGTAATGATAGACATCTGCAAATTTTTGACATCAGAACATGTACAAATTTTTAAAATACCCGTACAAAAGATCAATGTATACCTTGATGTGTGGTTTGTTGATATACTTTATGACCCTATTGATCATCTTAAAAAATTTATCACAACTGTACTTAGCCTGTTTGATTTATCCAATAAGGTAAATTTGTTTGTTTTTTCATGGCTCTATGAGATACATGTTTATGAAAATTATCTGTACTCAGACACATAAAGGTTTTGGCATTATTTACTGTAGAGAAGTGTCTACTGTGGAATTATTGCAGAATAAATTAAAGGACCTAGGTGTATCTACACTTGTTTATCACCATAGTAAGCAAATCGTCAACTAATCGTTAATCTTTTTATTCCTGAATCCGAGATTTAATGATGTAATGATGTATTCTAGAATTAAAGAATAGTACGCAACGTCGCATTGAAAATGAATGGATATCTGAGAAAATTCGTGTTATCATTACCACGTATAATTATGGATTTATTTATAAGAAAAAGATTAGGTCTGTGTATATTGCAATAAAAAAAAAAAATTTATCCCTATACACAATTCCAAATAATCTATGAAATATTTATTTAATCAGATGCATCGTTCATTGGACAGTACCTGAGAATATTGCCAAGTATTATAGAGAATGTGCACAGACACATTTGGAAAATGATCATGCATATTGCAGAATATATTTTAGTACGGAAGAACATTCTTCCGTGAAACTCGGTATCAAAAATCACAAACTAATTAACGATTTAGAACATACTCAGATACGATTAAATGAATATAACAAATTTGTATCTTATTGCCTTTCAATAATGTAAGTTTAAATTATTCAAAATATTCGTCTTTTCCCACAATTTTTCAAAACTAAACGATAAACTCTCGCTTAGGTGCCGGCATACAATCATTAGTCGATATTTCGGGCACATAATGCCACCTTGTAAAACGAATTGCGATGTCTGTAAAGACGAAGAAACAGCAATGATTAGGACGCATAAATTTATTGCATATTCAGAAGGGTGTAAAGGAGTAAAATATAACATGTGAGTATCATTAAATCTCAATTTTCGAACTTTATTAATTTTCAAGTATGTATCTTTCAATTCTTAGCTACGATGTTAATGAGGATTTAAAGAAGCATCAACAGAAACAGCTTGAAGAACAATTAGATGTAATTCCAAAAGTTAAAGAAGCGGAAGTTGAGAAAGCAGCAGAAAATAGTTTAAAAATAGAACACACATTAACGAAAGTAACAAAACAATCGAACGTGACTCCAAAAATTGCAGAAGAATCAAAAGATAGCTTAGAAACGAGACATAAATTATCAGAATCCTTTGACAAAAAAATTACCTTGAATAAGAACTTCAATGTACAGTTCATTAAGTTAAACAAGGGAAAACAGTTGCCAGCAGAAAATATTTCTCTTAGAAAGACTGATCACTCAGTAGATAGAGACATTAAAAACAATACAGAGAATACGGTGAAACCTGCAAAAGATAATTTACTTGCAATACAGTCAAGTATACCTGTGATAACGCAGTCTTTGCTGAATAAATACAAGTTAGACACTAAAGCGATATCTTTAGAGCCTTGCACTTCACGTAGTAATATTTACAACTCTACTAAAAAAATAATTACTATTGGATCTTGCAGTAATAAAAACGAGCGAAGTTCCTCGAATATTTTAAAAGTCGATGACGAAATAAAGATGGGGATCGGAAAAGAGGATCGTGCTTCTAGACAAAATTCTCGCGGGCCAGTCATCATTGAAGACAAACAGTTAGATAAAAGCTTGAAGAAACGTTTCATCACTGTGAACACGTGTCCTGAAAAGAAAAGAAGGAAACTGGAACTCGAAAATAAACCAACTATTGGGACAGAAATAAATAGAGATGGAGGAAATGCCTCTGGTTTCTGTGTTGGACAGATCAGAGATAATACAGATGAAAATTCGACTCGTGATAATAAGGGGATAGAATATATAATAAATAAGTATAAACTAAACAAACATTCAATAACACTGATACCAATGAAGAAGTAAAGTTACCACGAACTAATAGTTTGTTTTAAAAAAATGCTAAATATGCACAACATCGCATTTATCAATTATATAAAATATACCTGTTATTGTTCTTTTCAAAGATTCAATTATACCACAATTAGGGCGTAAGTAAGAAATATTAAGATATATTATGTATTTAGAATACAATTGTTAAAAATAGCATGATTAGTGACAATTATCAATATGTCAAACGCTAGCCGCAGTAAAGAATGCCTCGCAGTAGTTGTTATAATTGTCACGTATTTTTTTAAGTGCGTCTATTTTCATGGTTTTCATATGAAAAGAATATTTTTAGGCCCAGCACAAGGTAATTTTTATTTTATTTCGATCGACCGAACTGAGAAGCGAAGTATGTATGTAGGTCGTCGAGTCATACTCGTAAAACGTCAAACTTGCTCACCCACGCAACAGGTGATACTGAGCACAAAATATTGTCACTGTTCTACAATGTTATCTGTTTATTTTGTCTGTTATGATTGGGTTAATATTTAAACTTCATTTCATTTTTTTATTGATCATAAAACTAATTAAAAAATTTACTTATTTTTAAAATGTGTAATTTTTGTGCAATTAAAAAATTTTACGAAATACACATTACTACTTTGAATATAAAGATCTCCAATATTTGAATTCTTCGATGTTTAATTCAAAATTTTTTCCACTAATCCATTAACTTATACTTTCCAGCAAATCGTCAAATAATCATTTAAGTTTTCCATCCTAGGGAAAAAGGGAAAAGGAAATTACAATTTTCATGTTACAATTCCAATTAATATTATTCAAGAAAAGTTACTATACCACACTTATTTGCATTACTATTTGAATTATTAATTGTACAAAACTAGAATTATTAATTGTACTGTATCCATACAAACGATATCATTTAGGGGGAATGTTTCACCGGTCCAAAAATAAACAATTACTTGAAGTATCATTGGTACTCACCGTTCAAAGCAGGAGGTGGGAGAAGAAGAGAAGGTGGAGGAACGAGATCGTGATTCATCGAGTTCACCGGTGAATTCGTTTTAGGAATCACTGAACGAATCTCTTCGCTTTCATTTTGTCTTGGTATTTTTTGTTCAAACTTAAATTATTGCTTCTGGCAAACTTCTATGTTGTTAATTAACATTAATTAACAAACTCGTCAATGAAACGATATAAATTGTATCGATATTAATGATTTAAACTATTTATATTCAGGCAACGAGAGGTCGCGCTAATGCAGTAACGTGGAGAAACAATCTGTTGGAACGAACGCGACACCGAAAACCGAGTCACTGGATGCTCGAAAAAGTCTGGCAGTCTGGAACAAGACGGAAAAGAGAACTCCTTGCTGCACGGTGGACAACATTACACTTATGTAGAGGTCGCAGTGCGGACGTAGCAGCCGCACCTGTGTTCCCTCCTTCCATCCTTCCTATGCTTTTTCTCACTTTCTCCTTGCATCTCCGTGACCCTCTTTTTTCCACGAATGTCGAGCTCCTCGTGCTTTTCCCCGAGCCGTTCTTTTCTTTTTTGTCTTTTCTTCTTTCACCTTCCTTCCTCTTGCCCGTCTTTTATCCCATCTGATTGTACGTTCTTTTCTTAGAGCTTCACTTTTCGGCGACGATCAGGCTGATCCAAATTTCGCAATTGCTTCAAATATATACATATATACATTGTATATTGAAGATGAAAAGCATTGTGCAAGATAAAGGGATCAACATAATATAATATCCGTAATATGCACAAGAGAATGTAATTTATTCGTATTAATAATAAATATCAGATAATATAAAAGACGAAACTTTCTCCGTAAAAAACTAAGTATTAAAAGGAGCAATGATCATTCCCATCGAAAAATAAGAAGAAACTTAAAATTTCAAAAATAGTTTAAATAGGGAAACTTTTATCCGAGAACGAAAGGAAAATTTATATTTCCTATTCTTTTAAATATTTTAAATAGAATCAGCGTGAATAAATTCAGAATAATGTTTGATTTTTTCTTCCCATATGAGATCATTCAAATAAACCTTCGAACGGCTTGTTTAACTCTTGAATACCTTCTTCTGCTTAGTATACATATGTCATACATGTACCTGTTATATACATACGTTATATACAAGCATGTGCACATCACGTACCGGTTCAAGGTGATTAAAATTTAAACGTATGAAGTAAGCTATGATAATTGGAATATATTCTTGATCGTTCTATTCATTCATTTTATTCTTTACTATAACATATTTTGGATCATATGTATTGTAACCAAACAAACTTTTTTTTTATATATTAGTATTCTATTACTACATATGCGATTAAACATAAAGGATAAGATACAGAAAGAATTTGATTATTTAATTAAAGTCTATTTCGCACTTAATAAATTCTCTTAATGCTTAATAAATCCTCTTAAGAACAAATCCACTCCCACATCACTTGTTACGAATTATATGTGAATAAACAAGTATCGATCATTCTAATGCTTTTAAAGCAAATTTTAGAAACAAAAAAGTATTTTTCTCGGAAATCAAGATTTTTGTATCAAGAGAACATGAAGCTCGAGGAGGTGGCATGACGAAGCCCCCGATTAACCTGTGCACCTGATACACAGGTTTTTTCGAAAAATTTTGAAACAGCAATATTTTGGGAACGAGAAGAAATTTCTGGCTAAAAATTCGAACGAAGTATCAGGAGTACATGAGACTTGAGGAAGTGGCACGACGTAGCCTGCCGTTGAGCGGTACTCTTGATCCAGAGGTTTTTCGAAAAATTTTGTAACAGCAATATTTTCGGAACGAGAAGGAATTTCTGGCTAAAAATTCGAACGAAATATCAGGAGTACATGAGACTCGAGGAGGTGGCACTACGTAGCCCGCCGTAGGGCGGTTCTCCTGACAAGGAGGTTTTTCGAGAAATTTTGAAACAGCAATATTTTGGGAACGAGAAGGAATTTCTAGCTAAAAATTCAAACGAAGTATCAGGAGTACATGAGACTCGAGGAGGTGGCACTACGTAGCCCTCCGTAAGGCGGTTCTCCTAATAAGGAGGTTTTTCGAGAAATTTTGAAACAGCAATATTTTGGGAACGAGAAGAAATTTCTGGCTAAAAATTCGAACGAAGTATCAGTAGTACATGAGACTCGAGGAGGTGGCACGGCGTAGCCCGCCGTTGAGCGATTCTCCTGATACAGATATTTTTCGAAAAATATTGAAACAAGAATATCTCGGGATCGAGAAGGAGTGTCCGGCTAAAAATCGCAACGAAGTATCAGGAGTACATGAGACTCGAGGAGGTGGCACTACGTAGCCCGCCGTTGGGCGGTTCTCCTGATACAGAGGTTTTTCGGAAAATTTTGATACAGGAATATCCTGGGAACGAGAAGGTATTTCTGGCTTAAAATTCGAACGAAGTATCAGGAGTACATCAGACTCGAGGTGGTGGCACGACGTAGCCCGCCGTAGGGCGGTTCTCCTGATAAGGAGGTTTTTCGAGAAATTTTGAAACAGCAATATTTTGGGAACGAGAAGAAATTTCTGGCTAAAAATTCGAACGAAGTATCAGGAGTACATGAGACTTGAGGAAGTGGCACGACGTAGCCTGCCGTTGAGCGGTACTCCTGATANTGAAACAGCAATATTTTGGGAACGAGAAGAAATTTCTGGCTAAAAATTCGAACGAAGTATCAGGAGTACATGAGACTTGAGGAACTGGCACGACGTAGCCTGCCGTTGAGCGGTACTCCTGATACAGAGGTTTTTCGAAAAATTTTGAAACAGCAATGTTTTGGGAACGAGAAGGAATTTCTGGCTAAAAATTCAAACGAAGTATCAGTAGTACATGAGACTGGAGGAGGTGGCACGGCGTAGCCCGCCGTTGAGCGATTCTCCTGATACAGAGATTTTTCGAAAAATTTGAAACAGTATTATCTCGGGACCGAAAAGGAATTTCTGGCTAAAAATCGGAACGAAGTATCAGGGGTACATGAGACTCGAGGAGGTGACACGACGTAGCCCGCCGTTGAGTGGTTCTCCTGATACAGAGCTTTTTCGGAAAATTTTGAAATAGCAATATCTTGGGAACGAGAAGGTATTTCTGGCTTAAAATTCGAATGAAGTATCAAGAGTACATGAGACTCGAGGGTGTGGCACGACGTAGCCCGCCGTTGAGCGATTCTCCTGATACAGAGATTTTTCGAAAAATTTTGAAACAAGAATATCTCGGGATCGAGAAGGAGTTTCTGGCTAAAAATCGCAACGAAGTATCAGTAGTACATGAGACTCGAGGAGGTGGCACGGCGTAGCCCGCCGTTGAGCGATTCTCCTGATACATTGATTTTTCGAAAAATTTTGAAACAACAATATTTTGGGAACGAGAAGGAATTTCTGGCTAAAAATTCGAACGAAATATCAGGAGTACATGAGACTCAAGGAGGTGGCACGACGTAGCCCACCGTTGAGCGGTTCTCCTGATACAGAGCTTTTTCGAAAAATTTTGAAACTGCAACATCTTGGGAACGAGAAGTATGTTCTGGCTAAAAATTTGAACCAAGTATCAGGAGTACATGAGACTCGAGGGGGTGGCACGACGTAGGTCGCTGTGGAGCGATCCTGCTGATAGAGAGATTTTTCGAAAAATTTGAAACAGTATTATCTCGGACCGAGAAGGAATTTCTGGCTAAAAATCAGAACGAAGTATCAGGAGTACATGAGACTCGAAGAGGTGGCACTACGTAGCCCGCCGTTGAGCGATTCTCCTGATAGAGAGATTTTTCGAAAAATTTTGAAACAGCAATATCTTGGGGACGAGAAGGATTTTCTAGATAAAAATTGGGACGAAGTATCAGGAGTACATAAGACTCGAGGAAGTGGCACGACGTAGTCCGCCGTTGAGAGATTCTCTTGATACAGAGGTTTTTCGGAAAATTTTGTAACAGCAATATCTCGGGCACGAGAAGCAATTTCTGGCTTAAAATTCGAACGAGGTATCAGGAGTATATGAGACTCGAGGAGGTGGCACGACGTAGCCCGCCATTGAGCGGTTTTCCTGATACAGAGCTTTTTCGAAAAATTTTGAAACAGCAATATCTCGAGAACGAGAAGGAATTTCTGGCTAAAAATTCGGACGAAGTATCAGAAGTACATGAGACTCGAGGAAGTGGCATGACGTAGCTCGCCGTGGAGCGATTCTCCTGGTTGAGAGGTTTTGCGAAAAATTTTGAAAAAACAATATCTTCGGAATGAGAAGGAATTTCTGGCTAAAAATTCGAACGTATTGTCAGGAGTACATGAGGCTCGAAGAGGTGGCACGACGTATCCCGCCGTTGGTACGATTCTCCTGATGCAAATGTTTTTCTAAAAATTTTGAGCATGAATATTTCGAGAGCAAGCAGATTCGTCTCGTTAAAGTTTCGCTTTTTGTATCAGGAGCACGTGACACTTGAAGAGATGGCACGAGAAAGACCCCCATCGGGCGGTGCTCGTGATATAGAGGTTTTTCGATAAAGCTTTAACTGGGAATATGTTGAATGCAAGCAGTTTCATCTTGCTGAAATTTCGATTTTAGTATCAGGAGCCCATGATACTAAAAAGGTGGCAAGAAATAGTCACCCGTCGGGCGGTGCTCCTGATACAGATGCCTTTCAGTAAAACTTTTAGCGGGTATGTTTCGATAGCGAGGGTATGGAACTCGCTGAAGTTTCTAGTTTCGTATCAGGAACTCATGACTCTCGTGGCGCTGGCCCTATAGATATTTCCTTCTGGTGATTCTCCTGATTCTTCTTTTTTCTAAAAAAAATTTATGCGGGAATATCTCGAGCTGCTGAAAATTCTAATTTTTTTCAATAGTTTACTTATCAGCTAAGTATTCTTACAATCTATTCTAGACCGTGAAGTAAACTGTGAGAGAAATTTCCACAGTCTATTCTTAATAATTTGCGTAGTTCTTAGCTTGATATCGTTTTGCAAATATCAATATTCGGAGAAATATAAATTTGGTTCGCTTTATAAATAATTGGTCTTCAGAGATATTAATATTTGGAATACGATACCAATTACCAAGGCCCACCACGTGGAGGTGACTACGCACGGGTCTCATTATAGTTTATTATAAATCTGTATTGTGTTATATATTTATCACACGATTCATGATTTATTGTGTTGAATTTATATAATTTGTTTTAAAATGGAAATAATATCCTTAGACGATGTAAGAGCATAATCCACAACTGCTCTTTTAACTTACTTTGAACACTTTTACTACTTTTTAAATGTTAAATAATTTTATAATATTAAATATCTTTACACAATTATAATTAGAATTATTATTTAAAAATTTACCTCTAAATTTTGTTCGTTGTGCACACGACGGAATTTTAATTAATAACGTACTCTTGTCGCTGTACCGATCAAGATTATCTGAGTTGAGCTGTTGATCTGAGTTGATTATCATCAATTGATAATTTTGTTAATTTTTCGATATACGGTTTTTCTATTACAGTAATTAATAATCTGATAATTTTTAAATTTTTCTTGTTTTACAGTTTTCATTAATTGAAGGCAACATATGTACTGTAATTTTTTGCAAAGTAAAACTACGTTTGCATGTTAAGTTGTAACTCGGTCACAGATTAGGTACATATATGAAATCATATACCTCGTCTGTGCCTCGACTGTGCAATTACGCATAAAAAAGAAGTCTAGTGATAAGGGTATAAATAGAACAAGGAGATGGGAATGTTTCTAATAGAAAATATTAATTACGGAAGTTTTCAGTCTTGCAACGTGATTATTGATTACATAATAAGCCTCTTTTTCTAATCCTTTATCAAGGATGAAGTAGGTATTTTGTTTCCTCTTCCTTGCATTCATTGCGACATATTATGAATATTAATATCAAGTTTTACATCTCGATAACGTTACTTCATACATCATTATAATTTCATATAAAGAATTGATTATTAGAACTTTAAAAAAACTTGATGAGAAATTTGAAAGAATACAGAATTCTATTCTACATTAACGAGAATGACAAGAAGCAAGGTCTGAGAAACATTACGTCATATCAGATTTCTCTTGGCTGTAGTGTTAAATGCTTTAATAGTACTAGCTTTATCTGTCTTTAGCAGAGTGATAGGTAACACAGAATCGCTTTATACATAATTGTACGTATTCATTTTACCTTTCAGTTGAATCTGTTTTCTATTTATTCTATTTATTACATTCAATTTGTTTTTATATATTATGGTTTGTGTACAAAATTTAATATTAAAAGTTCAGAATTTTGGTAAATTACTAGAAACAGAGATAGATTGTTTCTAGTAATTTTCCAAAACTTTGAAATGATAAATAGCAAGGGGAACCTTTGATACATTACATTGCGTATAAAACGTCTTAATGAGTACCAGGAATTTAAATGAATCTCCATAATGAAGCTATATAAGTCATTGCACGTCATGAAGTACATATTGAGCAATGAATTTGTATGCACGAATGTATTTCTACGCTGGTGATTGTCGTTTTAATTTTCCTCACAGTGCTTGCAGGCTCTCTTTTGTTAAAGTCAACCAAAGAAAATTAATACTGGAACGTGTTTCGTACAATTTGTTAAATAAAACAATGGTAACGTTTCAAATAGTAAAAGATATGACATTTGAATGAATATTTGCACAAGATATCATGATTGAAATTTGAGAATCTGCTGGATAGGACTGGATAGAGCGAGAAAGTAACACAGAGTGGTTCCATTAAGTGTATATTGAACTCTTCGAACATCTTTTATAACATTTACTTGCATAACATATATAAGATTGCAAATGAACGCACACACTTGGAAATTGTGTATATGTCAAGATGTGTCATGTCTAGCTTTGTTTGTAAAATATGGTGGAAAGTAATATCGTTTATCGTTTAATATTCGGAAGTGCACAGGGCAGAGTCGACTTGCTTTTTTTTTCTTTTTCTTTTTCAATAGAAATACCAGCGAAAAGAAATGAATCGTACAGTGCGACTTATCCTCTTATTTGGTAATTACACGCTACACAGAATTATACCAAGGTGAAACCTGCGTGTTTCTTTTTCTTGTATAAGGAAACATACAATATAACCGTGTATAAACATTTCTCAAAGGAATAAATGATGAAAAATCAGTGAGAATGAAAGTATCTCGTTTAAAAATCAGTAAGAAAATATGTATATACATGTATATATACGTTTATGTAAGTGTATATAAATATATTAATATCAAAATCAAGAACGGTGTTATACGAGTGATAATCTTGTCACGTGCTCTATGAATATATACTATTCTCCTTTGTTCTTTTTTTTTTTTTTTTGATATCTCGAGTGTGGAATCTTCGTTTGCCTTTTTTTTTTGACATACTCTCGATTTTAACATTCACACTTTCGAACAATATTTCCCAATATATATTATTTCTCGTTTCTTGTACGTTTCTCTTCGTCTTATGATTTCTTTCGCATTAAAATCGCATCTATCGCTCGTATCGGTTTCTTCATTTTCCCATAAGATCGTGCAAGCAAAAGCGACCGACGGAATTTACATAATAATTAACACGCATGTACAAAAACGTGCAACAGCGATCGTTTACTCTTCGAGACGCTTGCCAAACTCATCCTCATCCAATAAAATATAATCAAAGATTTTACACAGTGGAATAGTTATATCAGCGAATGTACAACGTAATGTGATACGTTTGAACTCGAATTTATAATTTACGCTCGAGTTTCATATCATTCTCTCTTAGAAATGTTACGAGCACAAAGGTAAAAAATTTAAATTCAATTGTTTCCATTATAAAAGTCGAGACGACGAAAAGATTTGCTCGAGATCAGACTATTTAAATTAAACTCGCACGTTATACGAACGCATGATAATTGACAAACGAACTTCACGATTCACAGAGTATTGCGCTTAATTAACGAACAGCTGGAAATTATAAATATAGCCGCAATTTAAAATAATCGAAATACCGTCTTTTCATTTGCTCATCAGGCAATCATTCTTACTTTTATAAGTGGCACAGTGCTCTCGTATTCTTAGCTATCATTTGTTTTTACATATGTACGTTTAACATCAGATATATGCGCGTGTACATGCGCATAGACGATTATCTATCGATTTAACCAGAATTTCTCAAATGTCATTTGTCGTGAAATGATAACGACGCCTGTACGAAAAAAAAAAAAAGGCAGACTAAATTGTACAATTTTTATATCAGTTTTAAGAATTTCTGGTTAATAAAAGAGACAATATACACTGTCGTTGCGTACGTCGTTATTATTTTTTTTTTTTACACACGTAAGAAAAAAAGAAAAGAGAGATGAAAATAATGTTATAACAAAGCGACCAGATCAACACACTGCTTACCAATAATATTATATTTCAATAAATTTATGAAACGTTCACTTCGTTTTGATAAATAATAAAATTCCTTGATATACTGATTCATCAATCTGTTGATTCATTATAGATGTAATAAACAATGTATAAATCCGAAGACGAAATAAACTTGGTAAATTAGGAATTCAATTTTTACAGACTAGATACCACGATCTGTATCCTGCACGTTTTGATTGGCTCAACGCACATATACTCAAAAAAAGAAAAAAAAAAAAAAAAGAAGAGAATTTAAATACTTCCGCAATCTTGCTTTGTACCATCATACTCATCACCAGAATAAATGTGCAGATTTCTTTTTTTTTTTTTTTCATTTTAGCCTATACTAGTTCATTTGACGATGAATATTAGTGAAACAGTTAATAAACATTTGCTCTATTCGTTATTATTACACACTGCCTATACTAAAGATTCATCGTCAAATCTGTAAATCACATCTATTAAGACACAACTATTCCAAAAGCAGCTCTTACTCATTACGACAGTATACTTCTTGAAACATTTAGGTCTTCAATATGATTATCAATTTGTTCAAGGTACCATATCTTTTTTTTTTTAAACGTATGCGTAATATTAATTATTTATCTCATACATATTAACAGCAGCGATTTTTAATACATCCCACGAAATTTTACGCTTATAATTTCTATAATGAAACATTTATATCTCTGATCGGTTTCGCTGCTAAGTAATTTCATCGATAATCAATATGCTAAAACCCCTCGTTAAAAAAATATTGTATTCAGAAAGCATCGAACACCGATAAAATAAATCACATGAATTTTTACAGCAACGAGCTAACTTTTACAAAATTAGTTGCTTCTGTTTAGCTATGTCCTCTTTCTCTCCATCTCTCTTTTTCTCTCTTAAAAGTTTACCACTTTTCTTTTTTCTTTTTTTTTTTTATTTTAAAGATAACATGGATAGACTATAACGCTACAAGAGATAAAACCGCTTAGTAGCATTCTTATAATAATATAATCTCATTTGGACATCAATATTAATTATCAGATTGATCTTTTCAGAGCATTTTTTTTTTCTATTATAATATATGTATATATATATATATATATACTTATGTATATTAAAACTGGTACATTGGCAATAACCGAACAATTTTGGAATAATTTTCCACTAAAGCCTTATATTAAACCTGACCAACTTAAATTATTTTTCAATCCACCTGTATCACATTTTGAATGAAATCATATTTAATGAATAAAAATAATTTTTTCTTAAATCTATATCAACGAGACATCTGTTTTTCCTTCAACGTTCAATTTTCATAAATTCACTTCAATATCATATACGTGGTATAAAAATTACTCTCAAGTTGGTCAGGCTCATTCATTTCTTTTATAAAAATAAATGAAAGAAGACTTCCAAAAATGTTTCCAAAATATAGTAAAAAGTATGGTAAAAAAATTGTGCCATATTGAGAATATTTTATACCTGCACAGAAAGAATAAAGACTATTTTACAGCAGTCTGCAGAGTAGAACAATCTAAAGAGAGAATTCGTAAAATATTTTGCATATACCAGTTGCAATAAAGAGTTATCGACATCTTTATTACTCACGCAAAATCCAATCAACTCATCCTTCTTTCTCTCTCTCTCTCGCTCTCTCATTCTCTTTCGCTTTTTTGCTTCATTAACACATTAACATTAGTTTGGTCTACTACTTTGGCCTAACAAAAGTGTAAATCATATACTTAGGTACTCTGTAAAACATTATTAAATGCTCATTTAGCATAATGGAAAAAGAGATGTACAGATAGAAAAAACATTTTGGCAGTAAGAAAAGAAAAAATAAAATTCTTTGTACGCACCTTCCTCGATATTAAACCCAACGTTCCCTCTTTGATTTCATGAGTGTATAGAGTTCATTATGAAAATAAAATTCCGAGTCGACGAACGTATAATTAAGGAGTACGAATGTACAGAGTGATTTGGAAAATTAGCATTTCTAGCGCAGCCGGGAGATTAATTGCTAAACTGTTTAATTTGCTAAACTGATAGCATCACCCAGCATTGTGCAAACGAAAATCACGGAAAATATAAAATATATACGGATAAAAAGTTGATCGTTTCCGTCCCTGAGCAGGATAGTAATAATACAATGTCTAAAAATCTTGCGAAGAATATACAAATAGTACACAGTACTGAAATCGTACATGTCAGAACATTGTCAATATAAGAGATTCGATTTGGACGTTGGAAACAGAACCCTCGTTTTTGTGTGAAATCCCAGCTCGAGAAGCATCTTTCTCATTCCGATCGGAATCTACGGACAGATACGAGAAACCTACGCGGATTGGCACAGAGATCAATAATCGCGATACCGGTTAAAAGATTGTGACACGACGATATGTGGCGTTAAGGAAGGTTTATACACACATCAGCTCCTAATAACGCATTACGCTCAAGCTTTGTATCTGTCGGAAGAACCGATTGCGCAGCATAACACCAAGGAAAATATCAGCCCAAGCAGCTCCAGGATGCCTATGCCAGCGGCCACGCCAATCACTATATTCCTCTGACTGTTCAGTGCGTCCATCAGCTTGTCTATGCAACCCTGAAAAGGAAAGAATCGGTCAAATTTGATCGGAGCAACGACTTTCACGATAATCGGCGGCTCATTAACGCGTTCAACCAGGCGTGATTCCATCAATGAGTCACGGAACTCTGTCCTATTTCAATAATGGGGATTGGTGGGGTCGTTAAATTTTTTTGCAAAGTTAACCAATGTTTTGCGAGATATTTAATTAATGAAAAAAAATATGCAAAACTATTTTTTCTACTTGAAACTGATACCAGCTTCCAATCATTGGCACGTATATCTAATAAATATCTTCCAATGATCAAAATTAAAATCAAATAAATCATTTTTCTAAATGTAATTCAAATGACTATTCTGACAAAGGTATTACAAGTTTGGTTACTTGCTTAATTCAGAGTAAATTCTACAGTTTGGTTCAAGAAGTACATATGAAAATCTATTATCTAGCTTCCTGAAACTAATTTCAACTGAAATTGCTTCTCTTTGGACGTCGGGAAATATTTTTTACGTAGTGCAGTTGTTTTACTGCTTATTACAATACGACAGAAAAGATATTACCTCGCTGTAAATTGCTGGGCTAACTACACTGGCCACTTTGATATTCTGAGCTGCTTTGCAAGCAATGCTCTCTTTGTCCTTGCAACAGGATTCGGGTACTTTGAACACGTTATTTGGGTCTCCAGAAACGGTTATGCTGATGGGACTCGAGGAGTCGCTCCTCGCGTATTTGCTACCTGTCCAATCCGCTGGGCCAGTTGCTCCACAACATCCCAAATCTGATTGGAAAGTATCCACGGTTTCTGTGTGAGCAGTATCCACGCCATATTTGTTCTAAAATGAGGAATGAAACAAGATTAAATGACATATTTATTTACCCATTATTTACACGTGTATGTATGACCTATTTGCAGCTTTGCTGTACTGTTGAGTAAAATTTGCATTTCAACATTTCTAGATAATAATTACAAACTGGTACACACAACCTGCGTAAGAATTCTGAAATTATTACAGCTAAATCACAGACATTTATCCATTTGTAGGAAATTTAAATTTGAAGAATATGCAACTTTTGAAAATAAAATACTTATTATACTGCCTGTTTAACTTCAATTATTCATAAAACTCTGAATTGGCATGAATACAATTGCAATAATGTAATTGTAACACTTTCAACAAAATTTCCAACTCTATACCCAAAAGTCGTTTAAGTTGAATCATGTCGCGGAGCAATAGATAGTCAAAAAAAAAAAAAAAAAAAAGGTGCAACGAGAGAACGTTTGAACGAACAGACGAGTATCTAATTCAAAATGATCAATGGAGTAATTACAGACGTTGGAGGAGGCCAATTCAAAGAGACAAATGGACTAATTATAGACGATCGGCACGGGTACAAACGACGTCGAGTTCAGGCTAATTACAAATTCCCTTTAACGGATAGTGGTACGAGCGTTTAACGCGCGATAAAGCCGAGTAATTGCTCGATACCTTAACGGTATTTATCACGGAAGACTTGACCAGTTTCTCGAGGCGGTTGCTGTTGGTGTACAGCCATGCTCCGGCCGCGATTTGCGCGACGATAACCACCAGCAGACAGCTGAAGAAAGCAACCAGCATGCATTGGGACCCGCGGAAGGCGCCGCAACAACCGAGTAGAGCGACTATCAGCATCAGGATCCCAGCTGCAAGCAGGATGTAGAGACCGGCATTGAGATTATGCTGTTCCTCAGCCAGGGATATCAGGAATGTCTGCCCTGTTAGTATCCATACCGCTAGGATTACTGCTGCCAGACCTACAACCTGAAAATTAGAGAATATCGATCAACTTTTATTGATAATTTCGTATCAGTGGACTGTGTGGTGAAATTTTAAGTGGCAAAAATTCATAATATACACAAAATGTATAAAATCTTGAGAATTGATCGTTTTTTAAATTTCATCTCTTCAACTTGTGTTCGTGAGAATATAAGTTTGTATAAATATGTTATACAGTTTATTTATCTGATAAAAGATCGTATAAAAGTTTATTAGAAGAAAATAAAAACCAGATCTTAGTTTAATTGTTTGAGATCTTAAATTAATTAATTTTTTCGTTAATCTTCTCTTTCTTTAACTTTAAGGCGAATAGAATTATTTTTTAAGAAAAACAGAAAGTAGACGAATAAAAGATCCAAAGGAAGTTGTTAAACTGACAACGAGTGCTGTAAAAATTCTCAAACAGAAGCTAATTAGACGAGAGTCTAAAATTCTTTTTTTTTTTCCCTTCTTAAAGATTGTTGCGCAAGACTGATAGGAAACCATCGATGTGCGAAAGAGATGCGTTAAAAGGTCTTACAAGTTATTTTCTAAAAGACAGAGTACTACTATAGATTACGATAACGCTTTTTTGAAAGCTTTCAGGGTTCAGTGGGGCCTTTTTTCATGATAAACAGGGTACCGTTGCCTGGCCTCCCTAAGAAGGGAACAGGAAGTTACAGTACAGTTCACGTTCCGAGCAGAATAGCATACAGAAATTTTACATCCTATAAGTTATTCTTTTCTAAACGGTTATCACAATTTCTTGAACTAAATTTTCCAATTATAATCTTTCTTCTTTTTACTTCAAACAGCATATATACACTACCTGAAAGTAAAAATTGAAAACAAAATCTTTAGAAATCTGAAAGGAAAGGAAATGTTCTATACAAGAGTTAGTCAGCCCTCCAGTTCATAATTTTGACAATGAAAGTTCAATAGAATCCAGTAGTAGTTACGATTATTTTTTTCTCCCCCTTTTTTATGGAGCAAACGACGTGCTGCAAAGGGAGATGCTTTCCCATTTTGCCTGCAAAATATAAAATAATCTGACCTTCTTGGTCTCATTGAAACAAAGAAAGCAAGGGACGAGAATTCTGGTTTACGGCTTAAGCGTCATTCAGAGTGTGCCGTATGGATAAATAATGAAGTATTCTTGCGAAACGGACAAACCGGGACAGGACGCGCCCTTTTCAACGGCTTGTCCACCAGATGTGCGCGCTTTCATGTTAAAACGCCTGGCCTTTCCCATTCTTTCTTTTTTGCAACAGCCGTGGTAGCATTTGTCCCCCATGGATCTTACCTCGAAACAACATACTAAACATTCATCTTTACCTTGAGACTTTCCAACAAAAAAAAAAAAAACTGCAATATTCGTATTTTTGTTATAATAAATTTTCTCCTCCTTCGCTCAAATGAATTAAAAAAAATTTGTTTAACCCATCACATTGAATAGTATGTGAAACAAAGTAAGTGAAACTTCTTTTTTTTTTTTTTCTCCCAAAAACCTATGATTTATAAAAAAAATGAGATGCTAAGAAATAGTAGCATAAACACGTTAACTGTTATGGATTATTGCTATTTTCTACAGACTTTTCTATGACGCTTATATTCATGATACTTTGAAGGTTTTTTTTTCAAATTTTTATTCTGAGCAATAACTGCAAACTGGTTAAGCTGAACTTAGCATATCTTTCCTTATTTACATATTTGCATGTACATTCGCCACCGCATGTAGGCATAAGTGATGTTAATACCCACTCAATCATCAAGTACAGACTTATCTTCTGCATACATGCATGTATGTGCATGTACAACGTTACATTTATCACTGGTTAACGAAACTGGGTTATATTCCATGTGTAAACAGTTTATAAGTAGTATTGCGCTCGAACACGGTGTTTACAGAGGGAGGAATAGACATCAAGATCGAAGATTCAGTGGGTTAAGCCAGCAGAACACACTCGCTCGTGACTTCCACTCAACGTGTAATCCCGGCACAGGCGTGTCGTTTAAACAGAGGACTTCCTGTATTCTCCACTCGTCTCGCGCTCGTCCGAGCTGCGAATGCTGATGTAAGAAACAGATGCAAGAACTCTGGTGGATCGGTTGAATCAAACGGATTCTTTGCCGATACAATCAGGGAGATGAATCAAGACACAGAGGTGGCTCGGACGTGACACGTATCTCACTTAAAAAAAGAAAAAAAAAAAAAAGAAAAAAGTGACAGAACCATTATTGATGTGCTTTTTTTCTCAGATGAGGTACTAGGATGAGTTTGGAAACCGAAGAAGTTTGAAAATTGCAGATAGACGAGTGAAATTATTATGGATACGTATTAAAGAGTACGTATTTAACATGAAAAAATGGCATTTAATATCGAAGATGAATCTGCAATTAGGCATATATTCAATCTTCTCCTTTTTTATGTAAATGGTTACACATAATTTCCTGTACAATTCATTAAATCAACACTCAGTATGCACACTGTATCAATTTTGATGAATGTTTGTACATACCTTTGCCCCGCTGCCCTCACACACTCACATTCAGAATATTTCTACGAGTTTTGCAATTTTTTGATTTTCGTGCTTGAAGCAAGGACATTCTGTGAAAAACGTTTCAATGAATTATTATTTAATAGTGAATCGAAATAAGTTTGTTTAAGTGAGTCTTCGATATCTTGGCGTTAATTTCCAAGATAATTCGTATTAGATTACTTATAGAAACGTTCTTTAAGAGCAATAGCTTTATTTTTAAGGATTAAGAATTAAATATTTCATATAACATATATATATATATATATATATATATATATATATATATATATATATATATAAAGAAGAAGATTATTTGAAGTTTTTAAAACGACTTCGTGCTTCCCTCTTCAATCGAGATATCTATTCAAAAACAGTATTGTGCTTGATCGGTTTCTGCAGATCGTGTGGAATGAATTACACAACATAGCTTACATAATAAATTTGCACGTACCATGGATAAATAGCTTCATGTTCCGACTCTCTCATGTGTTCCAGTCTCTTGCGTACTTTTAAATTTGTATTTTTTATGTTCCCCTGATTTTAGATTCGTTAGATCATTTTCGTTCGACTAGGAAAACTAAAGTTAGACATTGGTGATTGATGAATTCACCGATTTTCAGAAACCAGTTTATATCGACAGAGTAATACCCACGTTTATTAAAGATTAATTATTCAAACAGCTGGGGTTGTCCAAGTCTATAGAAGGGAAACTATGTTAACACCTGTGCAAACATTTCTCAGACGGTTTACTGTCACGGATAATACACACAGGCGTTCAATTGATGTCAGATTCCCTTTCAGTGCTATGATTTCATTTCAACAATAAAAATAAACCGTCGTACCATTCATCATTGATTTTTTTTTTAAAAACAAAACACCTACCGATTCGATTTTCGTGAACAATCTCGGAAACCACTGAGAAATGTACAATCGACGAATTATTAAATTAATTATCGATTATTTCTCAAGTCATAAAAAGATCTTAAATCATTGTTCTCGAAAATTCAGGGTACTGAGATATACGAGAGCCGTATATCTCGATGACACATGGCCCGGAGGCAACTTCTTCGAAAGCATTTGGCTCCTCAATTTCGCGCCAACTGGTCCAAGTTCAACATCGTCTGATGTGTATATTTCATTTGTGGAACATCATTACAAATAACTATCGTCATTCAAACATCTATGCGTTTTCTCCTTCATATGGAAAGAAATAAGAAACGTACGTGACAAGTTAGCTTTCCAGTTCATTCTAGAGAAGTTACTATGATTTTAAAATTCGTACGCGATCAATTAGTTCTAGATCCAACTAGTTATTCGTCTTTTCACTCGGATATTAAAATATTTCCTTCCTTTTTTTTTATCTTCGGTTTCTGTCCTCGAGATTTCATCGATCTGCCGGTTATTTTAAAAAAACAATCTTCGAATCTGATGAAAGTTTCACGCTGAGGTGCCCGTGTTCGATGGTAGAGTAAAGTTTAATATCAGACATCATAATCAAGGAAACCGCGCTGTTCGCGTTTCTCTCCCACGATTCTCTCGTGTCTATTGTCTCCGCGGGATAATGCGCCCGGCACGTTTGATTTTCGATCGATTATCATTTCGAGATTCGACTAAACGAGTACACCAAGCGTTGATATGATGAATAGAGAGACGGAGGGGACGAGGGGCAAACTGGGCCGTAGTGTAGGACGCAAGCTCGTAGGAAGAACATATTCGTTCTCTGACTGGAAATCTATATTTAAATGCACTTATTCCTCGTTGAACATTTTCAAACTGGACGCGACGCTTGCCTCGGTGCTGACATAAGCACTATTGTTAATCGCTTGGTAAAATATCGATGCACAATAATCCAGGCGGTGTTGAATAGATGCTCGTGGCTGCGGTTTAATAACTTCGGCGAATCTGAGTCATCATTTCCACCGAGATTCCTAGATTTAACAGCAGATCGTCGAAAATGGCGCAAAACTTTTATACTGCGTTGCAATCTACGCACAATTCATTGAAAAATATCTTGTTAGTTATAACGTATTAGTTAAAAGGAAAAGAGATTCTTTCGTACGTTCATTTTTTACATGTATAAAATACATGTGATAAAGAGATTTTCCTTTTTTTTTAAATGGCTGTGTCAAATTGTAACAAGAAGACTTTCATTTCCTGTAATTACGTTGTTTCGTCATTTTAAATAATAGACAATATGTGAAAATAAAGTTTAAGTGTTGTCCAATAAATTCTTAAACTTTGCTGACATAAGAAATCTTAACTTGAAATATTTTTTTTTTTAAGGCAACAAGGTTGTTACACTCGGTTAATAAATTTTTATTTGGAACATTTTCGATATCAGTATTGAGATGCTACTTTATTTAATTATTTTAAGCAATTAACTTTACCGAACTATTTTATTTAGTTAACTTACCACTACTAATTTATTTAATTGTTAATACTACGATGCTATTTTATTTAATTATTTTAAGCAATTAATTGAATGAATTTTTTTTTGATTTGTATATGCATTCATCAATTAGTAACTAGCTAAATCAATTATACGAATCAGTGAAATTTAGGGCAATTAATGCGAGATATACGCACCACCTAGATGCAATCGATTCAGCTGCTCTCTCGAATTACCTGACTTCGCACTGAAAAACTGCGATGTATTGCTTACAAGAATTTCCATGATTTAGAAAACATGTCTTGCTAATCACAAGAAAGTTCTTTACATCTTTAAATGATCAATTAGATTATTATTCGAGTGTTATTAAATGAATGAAGAAAAAAAAAGAAGAGATTTGTCTAAAGAGAATGATAGACATCAATAATCGTGTTAAGAGTGTAACGCTGATTCTTCACTATGTATTAATTAAATTTCCCACGTACATATATGTCGTATTTACAAATTAAATTAAGAAATCAGAAGAAAAGGCGAAGATAGCGATAAAGACAAAGATTTCGAAGGGAAGTACAAATTTTTTGCAAAAAAAGGGGTGGATTCGAAAAAGAACTTTACGCACCCAGACGCAATCGATTCAGCTCCATGAGAGTTACGTTCAAGCTAGACAGCAAAACAAAAAACTAACAAGCTAAAGAAATGTTCCCTTAACTTTACGTTTCATACTTAATTCGCCATACATTTATGTCTTACTTTAGTTGAATTCAGAAGGAAATCGTCAGCGTAGAAATAAAATTTGGTTTTGATATAATTTCACGATCAAATTGTAACATTTCTGTGAAATATGAAACGGAAGACCGTGTTTAGCAGTTTCTTTAAATGATGATTTAAAGTCGCTAAAAAGGAAGTTGCACGGAATAGCCTGTCCTATTGTAGCTAATAGTGCAATTTCTTAATTTTAGTTTATCCGATTATGTTATGAATTCAGGCGTTCTTATATTATCCCGAAAATAAGTTCGCGTTTTGAGATAAATTAGGGGGAGAGGGGGGGGGGGAGTTACTGGGTTAACTGAAAAAGAGTGCAATTGAACAGAATTGCTAGTACGAAAATTATTTTGTTCTTTTTGTCCTTTATTTCCTTTTATTTTTATTCGCAATAAATACTATGAAATTTTTATTTCATTTATAGTATTGCCAATATATCTTTCGAAAATTTTTTCTTTTTAATTTTAAATAGTATAATACGTTAATTAAAAATAAAAAATGATTAGAATTATTCATCGCTCTTATTGTTAATAATAGTTAAGTTAAAACTAGAAAATTATTTACCACTCATGGTAATATTTGTTCTTTATCTAAATTTCATGAAATTTTTTTGTTACAATTACCTTCGTCAAAAATTTTCACTGTTTAAGTTTATTGAACCAAATCACTCACATTATTATACACGAACCGTATGCATACTTAACGCACACAACACGCTCGGAAAATTACATCCCCTTGAGAATAACGTTACCCTTTATCATTACGAAATGCAATAATTTTATTGATTAATTCAAAGTGCTATAAATATAACTTTCATTGAATATGCTAGTATTTTTTTTATTATCTTATCCTTTCGTTTTACTCAAATATGCTTGAATATGTTTTCTCGCATATCAATGTTATGTTAAAATGTTTGGATTCCATATGAATGAATATGACAGTACAATTCCACAAAATATAATAAAATTATCTTAGACATATTTTTTTACAAAAATTATAGGCATATCTAAGTTGATGGTGAATCAAGTATAAAAATTTTGTTATCAAATATATTTATATAGTAATTAAAAAATGTAGCAACCGACCATAAAACAATTATTCAGTTAATTACAATTATTAACATATTTGCAGCTAGTAATTTTATACAAATCTTAAAGTGGAAAATCGCAGATTTCAGCGATTAAAATGATGACAATTTGAAAAGTTTCAAATATCATGTTTTGTATCGCTTATTATTATTGATTCAAAATACAACAATTTTCCTTTTCTTATTCATTGATAATTGAAAAGTTGAAATGGTAAGTGCTTTGAGTGAAGAAAAAAAAAGAGAAGATTAATTCTAGTATTTAAATCGTATTTATCATTTGAGCACCATGGATTTTTAGTTTGCTCATTTAATAAATCTAGAGAAAGCTAACAAATATATTGGCAAAAAATATATTGAATAAGTTTTATTGTTGTCATATTCATATGTATTTTAATTATAAGAAAATTGGCGTTTATGACTTTGTCAGCAACTTTGAAGTACTACACAGTAACTCCAAAACCCAAGTCAAATAAAGAATTTTTTTTAATACTTACATTTAACTGTAGTTTTTAATTAATTCAATTATAATTTACTTACGATGGAACGTAATATCACAATAGCCGATAGTTAATGTGTATGTTAAAATAAAAGTGAAAACATGCGAACTCACCCAAAATATATGGTTCACGCAGATCAACGCATACTTGAGGAATCCATAACATTCTGAAAGCACCATCTTTTTTCGAATTATATGTGATGCACAACACTTTAGTTAAGTTATTCTGATAGCTTTGTGGAAAATATGGGATTCTAACCCGGCGAGCAATCGTTTACATTCAATTTGGACGCTAATAAAGGGAGGGTTCCTATTTTCTTTTAATTATCTATACAATTGTTATGTATTATGAATTACTTAATGTCGTATTTGCATATTATTGAAGAGGAAACACCGATCCATTCTACGCAACGGTTTATAAGCAACTGTCATGGGATAAGAAGATACGAACTATCGGCGTTGGTTTTTATCGGGAGCGCAACGTATGGGTACGAAGAACGAACTGGTACTCTCGTTTAAACCTCCTTGAAGCTGCAGCTTATGACGTCAGCTTCGAATGTTCGATCTCTGTCCCTCATAATTCGTATTAGTATTTCCCTCTCTTGCTTGTAAATGAGCCTCTCTCTTTGTCTCGCTCCAAACTGCATTTCGCTTGATACTCTCTCACTCGCGCACTATCCCCACTTTTCTTCCTCTATCATACCACATGCGCGCGCGCGCCCGCGCGGGGAACACAAACACAAAACTACATTTCCTATTGTAGTTAATATACTTTTTTTTCGGAGTTTACTCTTCCTTGTTTTTAAATATTTTCAGTATGTAAATTGCTACGTGAATTTTATATTATTATGTATTTCAACTGATGTATTGTTATCCGAATAAAATTATTCAATTTAGAACTTTGTACTGTTACTATAATATTATCATTGAAAATGTTATTTATTATAATAAATATATATATACCTACTTTACTACTAGTATGATCCATCAATGATCTTTATGGCAGTTAATGTTAAGGTAGTATGTTTAAGATTATTAGGTATTTCTTTCTTTATCTACTATATTTTGTATAAATAAATTTGAATTAACATTAACAGCAAGTTTATTTTAAAGGATTGATTAAAAAATGCATTTGACTTGTATACATTATACTATTTATCGTTTAATATATTCTATCCAGACCTTCAACTTCTTTCTTTTTGTCGACTTCCCCGTTTATAATTATAGAATTTATTCTTAACATTGTTCTGGGTATTCTGGTAACTGTAAAACAGATATATTGTTAACGGAAAAGTTGTACAATTTTTTTGATTATAATGTTAATTATCATGTCATGCTTACAATTTATTCTCTTAAACTGTTTCCTCGGTCTCATTCGAAAACGAGTAATTGTGTGGGATAAAGTTTTCTGAATTACAGTTGCATTAACCGACACCAATTCCCTATTCAGTATAGGTCTTCCAATGAGTGTAAAATCTTTACTACCAACCAATAATACTTTTTCCAAATTTAGTTGATCTCCTGGTTGAGGTGGCCAATGGCCCTCAATAGCTATAACATCATTTTCTGTGATTTTAAATTGTGTTCCACACAAGTATATGACTGCAAATAAGCGACCAACTTGATTGGTAGCTATCTGTTTGTTAATTTTGTTGATTATGTCTAAAAATTAAAAAAAAAGTTATATGTTTTAATACTTATATATCTAATAGATAAAATTACCAGCGGCTGCCTTTTCTTTTTTTTCTTCATATTCTTCGGGTATTTCTTCTTGATATGATGGCTCTGGTTTAAACCAAGGTAATTTATATCTAATTGGTTGTTTACGAGTGGCATAACCAGCTACTTCTATCTGTTGTAGTTTTAATCCTATGACAAATGATAATTTTTATTTGTATATTTTGCTTGTCATTTATTTATTCTGAATTATTAATTTTTACGTCATATTACTATAAACATTTAATATTGTTAATGATAACAATAACAAATAACCTAATAGCAAAATATACTAAAATAGTGTATATTTTATATAATAAAATAGATCAATAAGTATGCATAAATATATGGTTAAGAAATGTTAATTATAAATCATTCATTGTGACATTATTCATTTAAAAACTGCTATTAATACAACGTGTTTTAAATAACAGTAATCAAAAATAAGGTTATATAACCTAAAATTTCGTACAAAAGGAACAAGCGAATCTTGTATTATTTTTATGTAAAAAATGTTGACAAACCTAGATAATATTGTTTGTTTGTCGAAGTTGGAAGAATCCGTTTGACACAAGTATTTGTAGCGAAATTAAACAGCCTGTTAAAACTACCAAGCGCCGCCATGATTTTGACTACTTTAAATCTGGTAACTTAAAGATTTAAGAATTTCCAAAAACAATATTTAAAATTATAAACACATATAAAACAGTGAAGTAAATATAACAGAGGAGACCGAAGATATTTTTCTCATTAAAAGATACGGAGATGAAATATAATTAAAGAAATTCGCGCCAAAATTTTGAATAGTAATCGCATACGTGTCGAAACTAAAATTTATAAGATTAATATCATTAATAAACATTGTATAATATTCTAATATATAACAATTCTCTTCGTGAAATTTCTTATTTCGCAACGTACACTGATGGTGACGTAATTTTAAAACAATACGAAATTATAGTATTTTTGTTGATTTTTTGTAGTTCCGGGTACAACAGAATGCGAAGAGATGTCGTACATGTTCGCGAGCATTTAGTTGTTATGGTTAGCCATTGTATTTTAAAGCATTGATGACTATGCAGTTTTATAAGGAAAAGCTTTTGTCGCCTGGACAATTAAAACGTCTTAGTGAGCATAAATATAGCTGTACAACAAATAGTCTTTTGGATGGATTTCTTCAACCCTGGTGGGACTGGCTTGTTAGCAGAGTCCCACTTTGGCTTGCACCCAATTTAATCACCATCGTGGGTCTGATTGTCAACATCGCAACCACTTTAGTCCTTGTATATTATAGTCCAGATGCAAAAACCGAGGTATCGTTTATACAATCTAGTTTCCGTGTTAAAATATCATTATGTCAGATGACAGTGTAAATAGTTGTGAACATGAAGATCCAATGGATATTCCATATATAAATGTAAAAAATGGAATAAATATTGTGTAGTTCCTTTATCATAACATAAAATTATCGTTTTGAAATAAATTTTGTATAAAATAGTGTAACTGTATATGTGTGATGCTCATATAAACTTATATACTTAGGAAAGAACAGTTACTAACGTGTATACTTGTTAAATCCATTCGTAGATATAATATCGCTTTTATATATATGAGTATAACATTACTTTATTATTTTAGCCACCTAGATGGACCTGTTTCCTGGCTGCGCTTGGTTTATTCATTTATCAAAGTCTAGATGCCATAGATGGCAAACAGGCTAGAAGAACAGGGACTTCTACACCATTGGGTGAACTATTTGATCATGGGTGTGACTCCATATCAACTGGTATATTACTTCAGTTGATAAACTTATTTGACTTTTATGTTAAGTTTTCATTGTTATGGGTGAAAAATTATATTTCTCTTTTTCTAGTTTTTATTGCTTTATCAGCATGTATAGCAGTACAATTAGGATACTATCCAACATGGATGTTTTTCCAATGCTTTTGTGCCATGACGCTCTTTTATTGTGCACATTGGCAGACATATGTTTCAGGTAAGAGATTTATATTAATAAAGATAATTTTATCAAACATATTTGTACTATAGTGTCATTATTTTTAAACAGGTTCCTTAAGATTTGGCAAAGTGGATGTCACAGAAGCGCAATTTACTATTATAACGATTCACCTTATTTCTGCAATATTTGGGCCAAAAGTATGGATGATGGAGGTTGTACCAATTTTAATAATATTTTTAATTTCACATTTATATAATTTCAGAATATCTTATGTCAATCAATAGTATAACTTAATTTTAAAAACATGTTATGTTTAAAATATTTGACTAATCTGATCATCAATGATTTGAGATACTAAGGTTGTAAAATGAAGCAATTGATAGTCATAGGATATTCTTTCCTCGTCTTTAATTCATTAAACAAGTATGAGCTTGTTTAGTATTAAATTTATTTATTAATAACAGAAACTTGCTTCTAAGGTATAGTAATAAGTTTTACAGTAAATTGAAAGAGTTTGTAAATATTTTGCGTAATTGCACTTAAAAAGTTACAGTATTATAAATTTGTGTAAGATATTAAGAACACAATTATTCATTCTTTTCTTTGAGTACATAAGATTATTATTTATTCATGTTAAGTTCATCATGATTTTTCATTTAAACCTTCATTCAATGTTATTTCCACGAAGTATTTTAGATGTTATTTCCTACTTTCGTTATTGTCTGTATCATAATTTTCTTACATTTGTTATATGCAAATATAAGATTATTGTGTATGTATGTGAGTTACATTTATTTACATATTTTCCATTTATTTCATCAATTTATGAACTGAATGAAAGGCAAATAATATTTAAATAAGATGTAATAGTTAAAAAATTAATTTCTAATTTAAAGATTTTCACTTTGTGCATTAAAATAATAAAAGTGCATAAAAATAAGAAAAGACCAATATTTCTAGTGAGTTCCATATTTTTTATCTCAAGACTCATGTTGTTTATGAAAAAAAATTTTAAAATATTTTTGCATGAGTCTAATGAGATTATTTCTTACAGATACCATACATAGATGGTTTTATGTTTAAGTATTTAATAGGAGTTATGACAGTAATTTGTGCAGTGGCAAACTTATATTTCATCTTTTCGGTGATTTTCACCGGAGGAGTGGGCAAGAATGGTTCAACTGTGGCTGTAAGTTAGTCAATTAGACATTCGTGTTTGGAAATATCGAAATGGGAGAAGCATGGCATGAGGAGCAGCACTTATGAAATTATCTTTTTTGCTATGGAATTTATTATAATATGCATTTTATTTTCATATTCATTTGTTCTCCTTCATCCAAATCTTTCTTATTTTCCTGCATCACATTGTCATTTATCATAAATGCATTGTAACTCGCATTTGTACCTACAATTCTCCATCAAATTCATTCACATAGAAAATATACTAAAAGTATTACTAAAACTTGTGATATAGTGAAGAAATAATATTTAGGACATATTCTTCTATTATAAAAAGCTATGTATAAAAATTCAATTTACTTTTAATACCTGGAATTATGCTTTTGAAACAATTTCTGTCAAAATAATAATTTAAATATATAAATTTGTTATTAATGTACATATATGCCTCAAAATTAATGGTTTTGATTCATAGTTTAAAATGCTAAAAACTATACATAATTTAAACCATTAAAAAAATTTGCATTAGCTCCAACGAATAAGCACACACATAAATAACTTAATATAACATTTATATTTTGCATCACGAACATAATTTATTAATTCAAAATGTAATTTTTTAAATTATTATAATATAATAACTTAGAAACGCAGGAAAAGAAGCAGCTTCCTCGTGCCTAATGTAATGTTGTGTACTCGTATTGAAAAAGTGAGAGTTACTTAGGATAAAAATAAGATACAGAGTAAACTTAGGTTAAATTTTAATTGCATTTCTACAATTTTTATAACAAGCGAGATTTTGTACATTTGTTTAGATGCCACTGCTTGGTGTAGGCACATTCAGTAACTACGTAGCGGTATTATTTTATGCAGGCTACATTCATGTATTCCTTGAGTTCTGTAAAATCTTTGAATCTGGTGGGATTGGAAAGAACGGTTCCACAATTGCAGTAAGTTTCAAAAATACCAACTCATCCGTTGTATATATAAATTCTCATATCTTTGTCACTGTAGCATAGTAACAAGATTTTTCTACTCTCATTTTACTTACTTATTTTAGACTATTCTAGACTACTGTCTAGATAGTGCATAATTTCTATATGGTATGCAGGCTATGAAAAAATCAGCTTATATTGCAACATTCTCTCAAAATCTTTTTCATGCAGATTTATCTTTCATTCTATTTAGGTGCTTATAGCTGCGGTTTTGGGATTTAAACTACTTATATAAATACTTATTGGGATATAAATACTTATTGTTAGTTGTCTCTATTGCACAATAATAATATCATTCTTTTAATTCTCTAGAAGAAAAAGATAAAGAAGAATGAATTTGTTTCTTCGAATTTTTACTAGATTAAAAAACAAACAGGTTTTATGTGAAATTAAGAAATATAAAATTTTTTTATTAAATTTACTAAACGATTGTGACTTTTTCTGCAGTAATGCAAATTATTTAATGTATAATATTTTGAAAATTTGAAATTGTTTCAAGAGCAAAAAGTTCTTACTGGTATGTGATAAAATATGTTAAAGATATGTTTGAAAGTAATTAATAAAAAGATTTTTCGTATGACTTGCACAGTTGCCATACACTGGCACAGAGGTCAAGGTGTTTCCATTATGGGCTGCTGTGGGCATCGCTATTTTACTTGCACAGAGCAGCATATCCGTCATTCTTGCCGGTGGTGTCGGAAAAAATGGCTCCACCGTCGCAGTAAGTCAGTTCAAAAGTAATAAAATCATTGTGTAGTGCACTTTGCATTTTATTTTGATTTAGGCCCATATGTTATAAAAGAATATTCCTTTCTGATATATGTGATACATTAGCACAAAATATTAACTATCTTGAACATTATTATTTAATATATATTGTCTGATATATTTGACATTATGATGAAAAAAATACTTGTTTTTCTTTGATCAAATTAAAAAATTAATAAACTCTAATAATGTTATTGTGGGATTGCGGCACAGAACAGATTTTTAGGTCATTTTTAGGTCTTATTAGGTCACTTGTGTGGGTCTAAAATTTGCAAGAGCATCACACAGAACTGTTTACTGTATTTCTGTTTTCACTCTGGTTAACACCTTTTCCTAAATATTTAAGAGTCTGTATTGGTACATTATACATATCTTCTTCCATTTAATGCTCCCATCCATTGACTGCACCTTTCCTTGCACCATTTTAACAAACTGCATGGGTTCTAGACGTATGTAATTTTATATAACTAATATAATAATTTTGTATTTTCATGGATTTTAAGTGATTTTGATAACTAATATAATAATTTTAGTTACTATATGCTTTACTGCAACTAACTAAGTCTTTAGAATATTGTATTTATTATGTGTACTAGACTTAGAATTCACATATTGACAGATTGTTTTTTTTTTTTTAGTTGTATATGCTGAAAATTTTATATTTTTCTACGTTTGATATAATCGTGCTTTATTATGAATAGATGCTTTTTTTAACGTTTATAAAACTTTGCATTTTAGTGGATCTTGGAAACATAGTCATTATAATAGTTAGTTGGTAGCAAATTGGTTTAGTGAAAATATAAGATTTTAATGAAACATATGAAACATTACACAAAGTTTTTATAAAAATTATAGTGCTTAATTTTTGCATATAAAGTTTATATAATATTTTCTTTCTTAGAGATTGAATATTTAAAGGTAATCTTTGTATTGTGTAATATTAAATACTTAAATATTAAATTTAAATATTCCATTTGTAAAGTGTATTCCAAAGTATTTAAATATTTCTCTTGTACATTTATTGATTACCGATATTGTCATAATATTTATTATATTTCAGGGAACATCAGTTTTATCCCCAATTATTCCATTTACTTTTGTGGTAGTGCCAGCTTTTATAATTTATAGAAAAAGTGCTGAGCACGTATATGAAAATCATCCTGCATTGTATATACTTGCATTCGGAATGGTTGCAGCTAAAGTTACCAATCGATTAGTGGTATGTATATAATAAAGTTTAAATACTAATTATCTTGTCCAATTTTTAAATATTGTTAATTATTATTTTAGGTTGCTCATATGACGAAGAATGAAATGGAATATTTAGATAGTTCACTGATTGGACCAGCGATGCTGTTCTTGAATCAATATTTCAATTTTTTCATCAAAGAGTATTATGTTCTTTGGTTGTGTCTTGTAAGTCTTCCAAGATTTATTAGAAAAATTTTATTTAATTTTTTTGAAATATCAATTTTTATATATGTTTTACGATTATATGTGTTTTTAGATTTGGGTTACTCTGGATTTACTACGATATAATACTCAAATTTGCCTTGAAATCTGCGATTATATGAAGATCAAACTATTTAGGATACCATTAGGAGATCATCGAACGAGTCTGGTTTCTAATACAGCTGAAAAAAATGGTACTAATAGGTCTCAACGTAACAGATTGCAAAGGAAACATCACTAGGATTTACTTGTGATAATGAATGCGCTGTATGATTCATTTTTTTGTATAAAGGAGAGTTAACATAAGAAAACATAAAAATTTGATAAATTTTGTCACACCATTATATGTACAAAGTTCAAAATAGTACAGTTCATTTATTATCACATTAATTTCTAATCGCCACATCTGATTAGTATTGAATAAAAACAAAAGGTCTCACTAACATGTTGATTAAAAGTTTCTCACTGCTTGTCGTCGATTGCAATCAATTTTGTTATCGACGAAAAAAAAAAAAATATCATCATGTACCTAGTGATTAAAGTTACGATTCAAATCGGTGAAAGCATTAAAATACACGAAACAACATAATATAAATATGAGAAGTGATATATAACTATTATTACAGAAAGATAGCAAAAAAACATGAATAAATTTTAAGTAACTTTATATCATTGTTATAAGTATTATAGAAATTTAATTAAATCAGAGAATGTGAATGATTTATTCAACTTTTATTTGTTAATAACTGTATGAAATTCGTTTGACAAAAATGCAGTTATAATGAACGTTTGTACTAAAGTTTTTGCTGATTTTTGGATTACAAGGAAAATTTTAGATGCTGAACGAATTTAGAAAAGACACTAGTTTTTACTTAAAATCGTTCAGAAAAAGAAAAAAAAAAAATAAAATTGTTTGTTTATTTCCTAGAGGTTGTGTTTAATAATACTGATTATTTTTTGTTTGCAATATCATAGCCATGATCTCATATAGAATGTAAAAGCAAACCATTTATATCTTTGAAATTATAAATCTAGTTTGAGAAGATAATGTAACATTTCTAGAGTCAATTACAAAAAATTTATAGTATAAGTAAACTACCAAAGATAGTTCATTTGACTTAATGAAATGAAATTCAATTTATTACTTCTCTTATTTCTTTTTTTGTTTTAATAATTTCAATTTTATATCATTAAAAAATTATAAGGAATTGACGGAATGTTACTGACTAATCGTTTTGTGTTTTGAAATATTTTTTTTTTTAGTGAACATCGGTTTGTAACGAATAAGGAAGTGTACAAGGAAAAGTACATAGCACAGGAAATATACGTATTACTTAAGCAGTAGATATGTAAATTGATACATTATATTCTTAATTTATAATGATTTACATTCAGCTCAGGTCTGTGGCCTTATATGCGCTTATGATTGCAATTATATAAAATAATTTTTCAGTTAGAAGTAAAAATAGCCAAACGATTTTTATTTAAGATTCTATATTATTTAATGTTCTATATTATTTCTGTGTTATTTAGTACGGCATATTTGTAAAATCTATTTTCTTTTCTTTACAAAAAGTATGATATAGAGATTCAACAATATCAATTATGAAAGATAATAATCTTTAAAAAAACTGCTGCTAATTACATGCAGTAAATATACATATTTAGATTCTTATAACATAATCTTTATGATTAATGGAAAGTAAATTTTGTATAAATGTGCATCGTAATGCATAATTTCAAAGCTAATTGCAACGTAGTCCATTAAAAGTTATTTTGACATTAATTTAAAGTATATTAATTAAAAAGAAAGATCTTACATTACAGTAATATATCTCAATTGAATTTGTTACAAGTTAAACACTGTGACAGATTAGTGACATATTTCTGAAATATAAAAACATATTCTTTCACTACATTATATTGTAAAAAATATTGAAAGTTGTTCAGGAAATAGTTTCTTTAAAAATATGATTACGAATAATTTAATCACTGTGCATGAAAAGAAACTAAGTTTTAAATAATGTTCAGTTCAAATATTTCATTATAGAGTGTTATAATTATATAATTTTATTGTTTTACAAAAGTTTTGAATTTTTACTAAATCGTTCGAGATTATCAGAATGACAATATTTCTATGAGGCTTTCTTACAAATTTGCCTGACAAAATAAATAATGTATCTAATAATCTAATGTAACATATCTTGGTTTTTGTTCAGAAAATGTAATCTACTTTTCCGATAAATAATTTTCGTATCACATGCTATCTTTTATTTGTACGTTTTCATTGGAGAAAGCTTGGTATAATGATCAAAATCTTTGGAATTACTTTCCCATTTTCCTATCTTCAAATTTAATATGTTTTAATCCTTCCAAAATGGCTTGCAAAGGTGATCTTTCAAATAGATTCTAAATCTTGCTTCTTAAACAAAAAATATACATTTACAAGCTTTTAAAATACTAATTCGCATGCTGCATTATTCTATTTTATTTTAAGCGTTGTATTGTTCTTTGTTATTGTTATAGTGGTATTCTAACAATATTTAAATTAACTTTACAGTGGCATCAATCAATAATAGCTTGCAAAATTGTTTTACTTTGAACCGCATTATTATTCAGCATGTTTGTAGAATTTTTACACAAATTGTATTTTATCAAGTTATCAATATTGTATTTCACATATTTCAATTAATAATACACAAAATCATATCCTTTTTAATTTTTAATTTAATTAATCTATAAATCTTATCTTAACTTCCAATTAATCCATAAATTTTATTTTATGAATAATACTTAGCTTTTAATATAGACAAACTAATGATTGAACAATATAGTAAAATAATAATGCGATCATTGAGCAAAGTACATGTTTCATAAAAAATATTAGTGCGTAATTCATTGTTAAAATACATGAAGAATTAATGTGCTTTTAATATTTTATTGACGCTTAAACATTTTATTTTTAATATAATAAATTATTTATTATAAATACTCATGATAATATATGTACAACATTTGCAACTAAAGAATTGATGGCATGTGAAGATTGCATTTGCATGACTGCTTGTCTCTTTTGTCTGCCGTAATGTCTTGTCGAACGCGTTCAGGATGTTAAATGATATTTCCAATATTTTAATTTATATTATATAAACTATTTTAATTATCAAATTTTACAAAAAACCAAGCAAAATTTTCTGAACACGGTCGTTATTTGATATATGTATGTATCTGCGAAATGCTATCAAGTATGAAGAAAGAAAGATTTTTATCAACTCTACGCTATTTTATTTTAGTTTTATCAAAAAACACAAGTGTAAACTTGATTACAGTATATTCTTGATCAAAATTGCTCTCATTGATTGCCGTGCTTTGGTTAGTGTAATGCGTGGTCTGTTACAATATTGGACATAATAATTTATTTAATGTTAAGTAGTATTATAATGTGTTACTATATCTAGTATATAACATGTTACTTGAGCTTGTGCGAATAACGTATTAATATCTCGATCCATTTAAATATTTTTATTGTTTAATAAATAATTTTTTCATTTTTCTCTTGAAAAGAGATAGTATCTTTTACTTTTGTGTTTTACTATAATTTGGATATTAGATGTGAAATACCTAACAAGGGATTTCAATTCTCTTTGCTTAATCTACATGGTAACAAGATATTCGCACACGCAGAATATAAATGTATTTATTCGTTGGTATGCATGAATAGTTCTGTTCACAGTTCGCACGATGGTGGAACAAGAGCCTTTGTTAGATGAGGATTATCATCATGGATCTAATACTACTCTCGACCTCTGACGATTACGTTCAACGTAAAGAGAATTATTTTCAAGTGCAGGGTTACGCAAAACTCTCTTCATAACTTTGTAACTTTAATTATTAATTCTTTTTATTTTCTATACATAAGTATAAATACTCTCTTCCTCGATAATTAATATATTACATGGTACATTAGCAGTACTAAAGCTTTGTGTGGCCTTAAAACCAGCCTTGCATCATAATTTCATCCGGAAATTTGAGATATTGGTCAGAGTAAAAATTATAAATTATATAGTAGGGTGAAACAAAGTAGTTATATTGTAGGAAGTAAATTTTAGGTAGAAAAGTAAGAAAAGTTCAATTCTTAGAAGCTAGTATATCAGAGGGTGAAATTTCATATTTCAGTATATTTTTTTAATTTTATTTTAAAAACGAGCAAGTTATGGCTGATATATATATTGGATGAAAGATAGAAAAATTATTTTTTATAATATTTACAAATAATATTAGTAATAACAAAGAGATGTTATTCCAGTATATTTTGTTTTAAATGTCATGTTTGAATATTGAATGAGAAGCGTGAAATGTTGAGAACGATGGTATGAAATTTCACTTTTAATTTTAATTTTAAGAGTTAAAGAGAATTTCGCGTGGCCCTTACCGACGTAGAAGAAAATTGAAAATGAGAAGTTTAGTTTTATCGAGATAAGTGCATCGTGTTGTACGACACTGGTACGACTTAAAGTTTAGAAATTTTTGATGAAATAAGATTAGGGGTATTTCCTGTGACAGTTTCGTAGAGAGACAATGTGAAGTACAATTCACCGGTGATCAAGATATTCTTACATGATCGAAGACACTGCGAATCTTAAGATAAGATTTATGTGTTATTGTTAATATTTGAAAATTCGTACAATTTTATAGAAGGACATAGAAAGGATAAAAGAATTGATCTTTTTTAAAGTAGAAACATTTATAGAAAATAATTTGAAAGATGGATAAAATGGATATTTCTTAATGTTATCGGTATGAAATGAAGCATTTAATACTAATTTTAGCATAATAAGCGAATAGCTGTTAATTTTTTGTTAGTCTTACTAACAACTTCCAGCTTTTATCTTAAAATTTCTATGATCTCTTAGAAGGGGATGGTAGTTGAGTTATTTAGAAAAAGAAACGTTAGCAACGTCACAAATGTTATAAAGAAAAAAAGAGAAAGAAGACAATAATAGAAATAGTTTTGTATAAATAAACAAATTGTAATATATCTAATAAAAGATAAGATCTGAAATTTCACCACATGTAATTTTATGTTGAAGTTTATTACAGTATTAGTAATATAGTGAATTTTATCAAAGGTTTTATGTTTAGAGATTCTAAACGTTGTGTAAACTACGATCATTGTAATTTATGCGAATAAAATAAAATTTTAATTATCATTTTGTTACTGTTCTTTTTTTTTTTTCTTTTCTTTTTGTCGATGAATTTTCAGTCGATGAGTGTCCAGTTGAAAGGATTTTATCGGATCGTTGAGAATATTTTCTTGCGTTCGAAAGTGGAACAAATTTGAATAACGATTAAAAACTGGTTCAACCCTCGCGTCGGAAACTGGGTCAGGAGTAATCACTATTTCCCGGGAATTCGGTCATCTATAGTATTTCACGATAAGTAGCTTGTAAAAATATCTTTGGAGTAATCCTTGGATAAACATACTAATTGATATCCGTTTTCATTACGCACTATAGTGAAATATTTATTTAAAAAATTGTTGCAATTCATTTTGCAATAACAAATAAGAAGAGAAAGGAAAGAATCCTTATGAAGATACATATAAATATTATTTTGTCATTTTGCTAATTACAATTCTTAATAATCATTAAATAGATTTATATTAATAAAATCTAATATAATTTACTATAATATATATAATATAATATATATAAATTTAAAAAAGAATTAATTTTGAATATGTGTCATGTGCTAGGTGCTTTCAATGAAATTTATATGTAAGATAATGCTTGAAAAAATATAAGACACATTCTTCTTTTTATTGGCAATCGTTCATATTGAGAAGATGAGAATAGCTGCCGAAGTTGAGAGTTTAATGTTTAGATTATATTCACTGAAATATCTTGGGGCTTATCGTAAGAATATTACATTTTTAATTTTTATTTAAATTTTTTTCAAATAGTGCATCGGCAAATTAAATTTCAAAACAATTTAATTTTCAAAAATTCGAACTTTTCTCATTAAATTTCTATGCATGAATTACGGAAGATAGAAGGATACGTGTCAATTTTTTTCTTCTGTTGATATATTACCAATATTTATTTTTAAAAAATCGTCAATTTTTTTATGGAACGTTATACTCTGTACTATATTATACGACGGTACTATAGTTTTACAAGACACCCGGTATAACACGTTAGGCAATATTACATCACACAGTAGTACGATATTGATCAATCAGACGGTACATAACGTGTCCCTTGATCCCTGCGTGTGATTTTCCGTGGGCCAACGAAAAAAGAGGGGAACGTAAAAAAAAAGTCACCGTAACAATGAAATTCATAATTAACTAAAGAGCATCGGTCAGGTAAGTTTCAATCCTATGATTCCATGACTTGTTGTTCTCCTTATTCTACTTTTAAGGGCCTCGAAATTTCGTGACCGAGCGATATGTATCACCTCCTACCCTTGTTCGATCTGGACTATGCTTTGAAACTCGCAGGAGCGTATTTTCTCTCCAAGGATCCTCGACTCTACCCAAGAAGTTAAATTCGATCAGAGCCACGTTCAGTAATGGCATCATAAGATTTTCAGTCAAGTTTGACGAAGTTTCGACTTGTGTCGCGGTGAAGTTAATTAGAGCAACAGCAGTAAATAAATTGCGAATGTTGTAAGTTGTGTTGCGAGTAAGAAATTTCGATTTCGTCATGCTAGTGAAAAAATAAGGGATGCTTTACGTAGAATATGGGATTGTATTATTTTGTTAATTTTATGAGTTACGCATTTGGTATTGTAATTTTGATGATTTTGGTCCAACTTTTTGTCTATCGTCTATTAACCATTTGTCTGTTATCGAATTATACGAATTTTGTAAATCTTCTGAAATGATTTAAATTTATACATGGGTAGTATTTTTCGTGTACCGGGAAACGCTTGCGCATGCGCGTCAGACGACAGGGGTAGTAGAAAAGTCGAGGATAGGGTCGACATGAATCAGTCTGCGCTTGGCGATGTCCGAGCGATCATTGATTATGAGGGTTTTTTTTTTACACATCTTTGTAAATCGATACGATCTTTCACAGTAGTTTAAATTGAAAGTAGAAAATATCATATATTTTACACGATGTTTAAAAAATTTATGAATTTCCACAGAAGTAAAAAAATAATAACAAACAATCTATGATTACTAACACAGAATAATTATTGCACAAAATAACATGATCCGATATTATTAACAATTGCAATAACAATTGCTTCACAATTTCAATGAATACCATGCACAAAACCAAAAACATATCTCCTTTTTTTATTCATCAGACGTCAATTATTTTAATGTTACTTCCTCGAGTTTTCGTATAAAGACGGAGCCTTCTTCGGATTGAAAATTGAACAGATTGTTTCACGTAATCTTCTAGGATAGTTTGCACGAAAAAATCAAGACGCTATCGTTTTCAGTTTGACACGAAGGGTGCCTGTAGATATTTCAAACTTAATACCTACGTCCCTGTTTCTCTTCCACCACCACGTTTTCCGAACATCCAGCTAAGTCTGTCAGCGGCGTTATTGATCCAGTTGCTGGTAACGCACCACGTCTATGCAATGAGGCCATCTATTCCCGAGAATCGTATATATGAGCTTGCTGGGCCAAGCGTTCAGGATAGTCGTTCAGAAAGTGCTAACGTCGTATTACGTAGACAGCGTCATTGCTTACGTAGGCTTTAATCATGTTAGACTTATCCAAAGTTTTTATGTTACAGTCGAAGTTACAGCTTTGTTCAAATATCATGGGATACGTTTTTTTCTTTTGGTAATTGAGAACGTGAATTGTTTTTCCTTTGTTTTTGACAAAAGAATTTTGAAATATACACATATATATAGTTTTAAAGATTATTTGAACAAGAGAAGAATTGTTACGACAATAGTATACTAATAATATTGCTTGTACAGTGTATAATAGTATACTAATAATATTACTTTTACAGTATATTATAATAGTATACTAATAATATTGCTTGTACAGTGTATTATAATAAAATATATTAAAAAGTAATATCACTACTAAGAATAAGTAGTACTAATAATAGAATATATTAGCAAGTAATATTAGTAACGTTGTAATAAAATGTATTATCATTTAATGTGCAAAGTACATGTATACTATGCACTTTGTATTTTAAAAGGCACGTGCACATATATCTCAGAATTAAAATTTAAAGGAGAAAGAAACATTAAGAGAATGAAAATATCTTCAAATATAAGAGAAATCTGATTAAATTGAAATATACATTCTGGAGAGATTTAGAATTGAATATCCTTGGATTTAAAATCAGTACACATTGATTTTAGGATGAAATTCTCAGATTAAATACACTTTTTTTTTACATAACTTTGTATATGAGGAAAACAAAATTCTCTGGATTTTATTTCTTAAGACACTCTGAAGGAAAATAAAGTCCACTGGATTTCATTCTTTAAAATACTCTGCTATCCAGTCTCTCTCCTAAAATCCTTATGAAATAATGATCATCTCTAAAAGCATTTCCTCGCTTCACGATTCTCAAGAAAATAAAATAAAATGTTGTTGTCTTTGCATTCACACTCATTTTCTAAACTTTATTTTTAACAGAAATTTCGCATACAATCCGAATACGTGCGCGTTTAAGATCTCAACGATAGGAATGATTGTGCTGATTTGCGAAATCGTTCAATCGATCCAGGATATCAAAGGGGGTTCCTGATGTTCCATTATGTACCGGCAACAATCAAATTTCGAAACTATTAATGGCCATTGAAACGAGGGCATAGTCGTTGCTTGACGCACGCGTGTACGCGTGTAGGTGGACGATAAGTGCATTAGACGGGGGGTCTGATAAGCCTGTGTACGTGTGTGCATAGTAAAAGTCGCGAAGAACAGTAGCGGCAATTAACTCGCCAGCTGGTGGGCTAAAAAAAACGTAAATTTATCCAACTCGTTGCAATGTAACCGATAATTACGAAAATTTGTATTCGACAACGGTATCTCGTTCATTTTTTTTTTTTTTCCCTCTAAGGTTCGACGTACCTCTTTCTTTTAAATTCATTTCGAAATGTACTTTTTAATCTAGCGTATAATATTTTACAGGTTGTCCCAGAATTTAGAAGTCAAATTTTGTCAACGTAGTTAATTAAGTTAATTATCTTTAGTTAATAACACAATTAACGCAATACAATTAAAATATAGTTAAAATGACAATATATTGTTGTTATTCTTATTGTTTATATTCACGCTATATAATGTAAGTATTTTTTTCATTGAATTACGCTACATACTTTTTTACAACTCGTGCATTCACATGCGCCGTGAAAAAGAAAAGAAAGTGATAAGATTAATTAGGTATTCGTAATCGTGCGACGTTCAAGGTTAAAATTTAATCGAAGACTCTGAAGGAGGGAAAAAATACTTACGAAGCGCGTTGCTTTGGAAATGAGGGTAACAACAAAAATTCGTGAATTTTGATTGAACGTGAGAATGAAGCGTTGCATAATTTATTAAAGCGTTTGGAATTTTTACGTTTACGGATGTAGGAGACGAAGAGGGAGAAGAAAAGAAACGAAGGATGAAAAAGAAGAAAAGAAAGTGGAGTGGAAAGTGTTTAGTTCAATCGTAGAAGGGTGTGGATCTACTTTTTCTTTTTTTCTTTTTTCGTTTTTGTTTAGGTTGTTACTTTGTGTGGACTTCCCTTCTCGTCGCGTAATTTCTGAGCGGAATTGTCGAGAGGAAAGTTTGCCGATCCCTACGGGCCAGGATTAAAAGCTAAATTTCCGGCTAAACTTTCGGTTTCGCCTATTCTTTCAGGACCCTGAGGTAACACATTCGTGTTTATTTCTTTCAACATACTATTTGTTACTTTATACGTTTTTCGTTAACTTTTGCGCTTGATTAGCCGAGAGTTTACTAAAAACAAATATATGGAAAGATTATTTAATATTATAATTATAATTATAATATTAAATTATAATTATAAATATAATATAATTATTATATATAATTATTATAATATTAAATTATATAATATAAATATTATAATTAATATTACTAGTTTATATAGATTATATTATTATGATGTTTACAAAATTAATTATACTTACTATGTTATTGTAGCATGTAGTTGAGATTTGTTACAACATAAAAGAAGTAGTAAAGATTGTTTGTAAAATGTTGTGAGAGAAA